CGAAGCCAAAAATTATTCAACCCCAGCCGATCGCTCCAATCATTCAAACATCCACAGCAATCAACGAATGGGAAGAGTTGTCAAAAGCATTGATTTGGATAATGTTGTTGTGCGAAGTTCACGACTTCAATATCTTGTTGCTGAATATGATGAGAATGGCAATTGTTTCATGTGAGTAGACTTAAATTTTTTAATTTAACTTGTTTCTTAACTAAACTTCATTTTCTAAAGTTACGTTGCTGATGCTGGAAGTCGTGCAATTCTTGTATTGGATGTACAAAAAAATAAAAACTTCCGAGTTGTTCTCCCAGGTGCATGCGGTTCAATTAATAGTTTTCCAGATGTTTTGTACATTGTTTTACTACGAAAAACTTGTGGAACGTGTTTCTTTACTTCACTTATCTGAAATCTACAATGAATTGTTTCAATGTTTTTTGTCCGAGGATGAATTGAATGTTTTTCTTCATCTATCAAATGTTTCAAGAAATGTTTGAACAAGAAATCGACAAACAGAAAGAAATTTTCAGTCGAGTAAGAAAAATTGTCGAAATCGGATTGTTTTAAACCGTGCGGTCTCTGTTTAAAGCTTAATTTTCTTATTTTAAAAATTAATTCTCAGTGAAAAGTGAAGTTAATTAAGTGTTGGTTGTACTCAGGAATCAATTATTGGAATAGTTGTGCAAGTTTATCAGAATATTGAATTAAAAAGCCATCGAGCCGAAGTTATAAAAAAAACAAAACCAGACAAACATCTAGTTGGAAAAAAGTATGAAAAGTAAAATTCTAAAAATAAAACCAATGAAAATCTTACACCCGCCAAAATTATCAGAGACAATCGGAAAGGCTTATGCTTTCGCATTTTGATCATATATTTATGGGAAAAGTCACTTTAAATATTCTTTCATTTTCATCCCGAAAAATGGCTGAGTTGAAATTGATTTTTCACTCTCCCCCATTCATCTGCTTTGTGTTCCTTTCATTCGTTTGAAACACATAAACGCTCTCGCACACAGGAAAGCAACTGCAACTACCAAAATAAAGAAAAAAACTGCGATTAGATGCTTTCCTATAAAGCCACGGATTATGCTATCAAGTTACTGATAAAGCGAATAAAATCGTTGGACTGTGAAATTAGGCAATGAATATGTAAGGCAAGGGAGATGGTTGATATGAGCTGAAAATCGAAGCGACGAGTGAAAATGCATTATGGACGTTTATTGCAAAGATGAGAGAAACTTCACGCAACATCATCCCTTCCTTTGTTTGCTCGAAGGATTTTCAATGTTAAATTTGTGTAATTTGGCAACAATGCAATCGTGCAATTTGCATCCCAAATGTATCGGTTTCGTTTAGTTTATCTTTCCTGAAGATATTTTCTACCTTTTCGAAGAAGTGAGAGACTATTTTAAGACTTAATCATAAACATTTGATGAACAAGCTGTACAACTTCCGGGACAAGTTTGTAGAATTTATGAGAAAACCATTTTTCTGTATCAAGTCATAAAGCTGACAAGTTTTTAAACAAATCGAGCATCATAATTTAAATATTTATTCATTATTTGAGGCGGTGACTTGGAAAGAAAGCATCTCTAGATTACAGAAAAAAACTAAAGTTTATAATAATAACAAAAAAAAATCAAAGTTCGAGGACACGACTCACGAGGTCACCTTTTGAACTTAATGTTGATCATTTCTCTTGATACAATAATTTCTAAAATTGCTTCTGGTTATAAACGTGCAATTCAAATGATTTATTTCTTTTTCTGTGACTTTAAGACTCAGCAAATCGCTGCTGCTCTTCTATTTATCGATCGTCAATATGAACCTTAATCACAATGATAATAATTTTGAACATAAATTTGCCGATTGGAAATCACAATAAAGTATCGACCATAAAAAATTACTTTCTTAGGATGAATAAGATGTACTAAAGTACATACAAGATGATGGTCGATTACTCTCCCACAGTTGCCTTCTAACGGTTCACAATAACTTTGCGAAGAGCAATTGAAGAAAACAAAGAAAGGAGAAAAAAAATTCCAATTTGAACTTTAATGTTGTACACATAAAAATTAGTGCGATGTTGCCAAAATTTTCCTGGACACTTTGAAAAGATGTTCAATAAATAAAAGGAAGGGAAAAATATTTGAGTCAATAAAATAAAATAAAATCTCGTCGCTTTGAAAATAGCACGAATGCGAATGAAAATTCATTTCCGCACCAATTATTGATCTCTCCAACGCTCCAAAACGTTCCGACAGATTATCGACTCAGACATAACATAAATAATCATCAGCCATTTCACCGGAGTCCGATTGTGCAACTTCTTACTTAGCTTGAAATATTTATCCATTCATCTTTGAATTTCGTTCATGTTTTTATATTTTTTTCTTCTTCTGAATGATCCATTTCAGAATTGCTGAATAATAAATTGAATGGAATAAATTTCATCACATAAATCATGCACAAATGATGAAAAGAAACTTTACAAAAAAAAATCCATCAAAAGCAATTGCCACACATGAAATAAAAACAAAAAATAAACATTATTTTGATAGATACATAATCGTAGAAACTTCATAAATCTTCAGACCAGTTACTTAAGTTCTCGATTAAATAAAAGTAGTTGTTGAGTAATTGATATTCATTATTTGGAGGTCGTGATTATTTTGACTTTATTCAAACAAGACAAAGACAATCAAGTCGAGCGGTTTAGCGTCAAACTGTCAATTTTTCTCTTTTTGACAATCTCTAAAGTTTCTTGAAGAAAAAGAAAAATCAACATTAATTAAGAAAGAAAATATTTACTAATAAGTTGAGTTTGTTATTGTTTAGTTGACTGAGAAGATTGCATAACACCAAACGTTGCCAAGTAATGTTGAATTAATTTTTCGAAAAACTTTTCCAAAGTGAAAAATGACAAACAAGTCTTCCTTTAAACTTGTTAGTCTTTTTTTTGCGGAATGAAAAAAGTTTTGTGATGGTTAACCCAATAATTTGAATCTTTGCCAAAACATAAAAGTAAAACTTTGATATTTAAACAACGTGAAATATTTTTTCAGCGATTTCTGAAAGGTAAATAAACTTTAAACTCAAGATCTCTTGTCGTTAGCGTCACTCGTTGTCTAAAGCGGAAGCCATTAAAGTGTTTTCTTTTGAATAAAAATGTCCTTTTAATGACAGAAAGTCATGGGTTTTTATTTCAAATAAAGTCATCAAAATGCGAGACTTTGCCATCCGATCCAGACAGCTTCGGTGTAAACGTATAAAAAAGGACGAAGATTAAAATAATTTTTTTCTTTATTCTAGAGAAACCTTTTTCAACCCAAAGCTGATCCTTGAAAGGAATTGTGCGTTAATTCACGGTGTTCTTGTGAATCTTATTGATTTATATCCTCCCACAGTGCTTAAGGTTACTGAAGTGTGAATATGATGAATTATTATGATACAACAAGTGATTAATGCTTAAGCTGGCGAAACATAAGATAAATTCTTCATCGTCTGTTGCATAACAAATTTAAAAAAAGTTAAGAAAGAAAATTATAATTTTTAGTGATTGTGTGGGTGTATAAAGCATCATAAAACAGCATTTAAGGTGTAAATAATTAATCATCAGTGGATTAAATAATCTTAAGAATTAAATATCAAATCATGGATATCAGCATTGAAAAGGCTGCTGATTGCAGTCTCGGCAGTCTCTTCCAACAAATCATCAATGATATGAAGGTAAGTTGCTTAGAATTGAAGTTAAATTCTCATATTTTGACCTTCGGAAAACATGTAATTACTAATGAATGTAACAGTTACACTTAAGCAGTTATTTCATTTCCGATATTTACGGATCATGGAAGTTAGAAATTTATAAAAGCTTTGAAATATTTTCGTAATATCAAATTACAAAAGTTAATTGAAATTATCTGGAAATATTCATGGCCATCTCTCAATCGTGTTATTCTATTTTAATTTGGTGAAGTTCAACGTTGCGTTTTGTTTCGTATTATAAATAAACAAAGAAATTATGTTGAGAATCGTTTTCTAATTTCATGTTTTAACTTAAAAACTTACCAACAATTTCTCCCATTGTTTTATAGCTCGTGTAATTATGATTATCGCTCTAAGCCATGCAGAAATTTTGTAAAATGAAACGAAAATGTCAGTAAATGTTTGGTTGATATCGAGTCAAATGTTAATGTAAAGAAAATCTTCCGAGAAAATTTATGACATGTTTTTATATGTTGAACTTGGTGAAAAGTTTTGTTTCCTTCAACACAACACAATTTCTTAAATTCTTACGATAAAAACTTTGTTGAAGTAAATGAGAAATTCCTTCCAGAATTTATAAAATTTTTTTTATTTCTCTGAGAATCAATTCCGAAGGGTTGCTTCGTGAGGGTTTTGAACAAAAGCAACAATTGCGTCGACTTAAATTGATTTAAAGAACCAACAGAATTGAAAACAAGTCCTCACGAACAAAACCCGTTTCAACGCTGTTAACAAGAATGTTAGCTTCCCAGAATCCTACAAATACGCAAGTACAAAACCAGTCATTGTTGCTTGCTTTACGATCCTTACGTGCCAATTTCTTTCTTTTTCTGCTTGTTCGAATTTCCATAAAGAAATCTATTTCTGAGAAAAGGGAAACGAATAATGAAAGGAAAAGGAAATATAAGAGAAAAAGAGTTGATGATGGTTACAAGGAGTGGAACGGGTTAGTAAAAACACAAATCGCGCGATCACGAACTGGCAATAACGCGTCAAGAATTCCACTCAATCCAATTTTTTCAAACTTCTCATTTCCTCAACAAAAAGCTGCTGTTGCCTTTTTGTATATACTCGAAAATTACGTTTCCGGCTTTCAGTTTTCCCTCAAAGAAGAACGTGTGGCAGCCGCGTAGAATATTTACACAGCATTTGTTGTTCATTTCATAGAAAAAGCTGCTACTGTTTAGAATCATAAATGATGAAATATTTATCATAAAAATAAACTATTTTGTCTGCCCTTCGTCGACTTCTGCTGCTTTATGCACTTCAACCATTTAAAACGATGCTTAAAAGCATTTTAAATGGCGAGTTAACGAGCAACAAGAAGATGCAAATGTTGTCTCGAGATGAACACGAAATGTAAGTTTTTATTTATTCTTTTTCTATTCTATTTCATCGAGATTTGTAAATCTTAACTTCATCTTCACGACTTCTTTGAGAACCTCCAATTGTGATGTCGAAAAATTTAAATAACATGAGAAAAGTATAATTTGAAATGTTGCTTCTTTAATGCAACAGTTTCAGTCGACAGACAAGATTCCATTAAGAAAAATTTCAAAAGCCTTCAAGACATTCGATCGCGAGATGAATGACGACTTAATTCTTAGCTTCCTCGCATCACAACTTTTATTGGTCTAATGACAAAATGAAACTCTACGCATGGTGATGAATAATTCATGGTAGCATGTGGCTTGAAATTCACGAAATTTCCTTAAGAATTACGCAACTGAAATGATTTCCTCTCGTCACGTTCCTCTTTCGCTTCTTCTTCCTTCACATCAAATTCTAAAAATGCTTTCATCCTAAAATTGATAACTGAATTCATTGATTTACTCACTCCGTTATCTTTCTTGTTGAGCAAATATTAATCTCAATCATGCAACGGTTTTTTCACGGTCATCGATCGTATGTAATGTTTGTATGTGAGACGCGTTAATTGATTTATTCTTCTAATTAATAATTAAAATGATTTATATAAATGTGAAGTAAATCGTTTTGCGGTCATTGCCCTTTCAATTCACTCTTATCACATTATGTTATAGAGAAAAGCATTACGGTAAACGTTGCGTGGGTGGAACGTTAAAGCACCTTTCCATGGTTGAAAAACGTTTCATGGAACTTTCTTATGTGTGTTGACAAGGCGCGAAAAGAAAATTCCTTTCGCTAAAATAAAAAGACGATAAACTGACATGCTTGGAAACATTCCGTACATATTTAAGTGTATTGACAACAACATAAGAGAAGACAGCAGCAATTTGAATTTCTTTTACAATATAAAGAGAAAAGAATTATGATGTGTGGGATTTCCTTCGAAATTGGTTTAAGACAACTTCAAGAACATTAAAATAATATTTCATCGGCTGAAATTTGTTGATTTTCACATAAAAAACATTGTTACGCACATCTGGCGGCATGATGCATTGAACGACCTTTACAGAAAAAAGTAATTTACTTTACTCTAGCAATAATGTGACGGCACATTGTAACACATAAACAAGCACACGAATCAGTCGGTTGTGAAAAATATATGTTTAAAAAGCGTAATAAAATAATTAATGTTTGCAAACACAGATGTAAGCTGCTTTTTATATTCCTTTCGATTCATTTTGGAGCGTGAATATTGCACATTTCTCGCTTTTTTTTTAAATCATGGTGTTGGATTTGATATTGAAACAACCATACGTAAAAAGTGTGAAAATAATTCGCTATTAAAGCTAAATCTTGCGTAGATATTTTCACATTATAACGTTTAGTAATATTTACATGTAAAAGGAGAAAGGAAAATTTATAAACCGGTAAATGTAAGAATAAAAAAATTATCTACAACTTTAAATTCATTTCCCTTCTTTTTCGTATTTTCGTTGCCACGACAATGTCGGATTCAAGAAATTTAACAAACACATTTTGAAATTATTTTGAAGCTGGAATGAAGCGCATTTATAATTAACATTTCTTCCTTCCCTAAACACTGCTAGTTTCAGCTTTTACCATTCGTATGATGAACAAATGGATAAGGAGGATGAATTATGAAAAAGATTCAAATCCTACGAAGCATCGCATTAGAATAAAAATTATTTTTATGTTGCACAAGTCATTCCTGCGGCTGTGAATTTTGATTAAAAGTAATGAAGCGAGGGGTTAAAAGCAAACATGGCAACAATGCTTTTCAATAAAACTCAATGATGATGATCCATTGCTGTTTACTGAATGTTGAATAAAAAGAAAACAAGACAAGAAAGTCTTTTCCGACGAGTAACAAATAAAAGAAGTTCAAATTTACCACAACATGGAATGGTTGAAAGAAAAATTCGAGTTGTTAAAAAGGGTCGCGTGAAGGCGTTAAGAAAGCCCACAGTTTCAAAGGCATTTCTTTCTGATCTCGAAGGTGTTGATGTATTGATAGTAGCATATGAAATTCATATTTTTATTTTTAACATCATTCTCTAACACTCTTATTAATCTGGTTTTGTGATTTTACTTTTAATATCTATGCACATGAGTAGCCCACATGATTTAACACATTCAATAACTCAAGTCTGAACATTAAACATGTAGGACTATCAAGCTTTTTCATATCCACAATTACAGTGGAAAGAAATATTTTTTATGAGACATTAGTGCTTTGCGAGAATGATGGAAAATTGTTTCGGAAGAAAATTGCGCAATTAATGTGGGCATGAAATAAAATACATTTTTCAACTGAACGGAACGAAACATTTTTCGCTGAATTTTAAGTATCTTAGCAACACGCATTTGCTTGATGATGGATGGACTGAAACATTATCTCCTGGTTACGACTACAAAATGATGTTAAACTGTTGATTTTTAATCAGAAGTCATTCGGTTGTGACATAAATGAAACTCGGTGTCTGATATAATGTGTTGGCGTGTTACATCGCGCTGACCATTAAAAAAAGTTATTTGAGCTGACGCCTGAGATGTGAAAATTTACTTCATTACATTTTCGTCACGAGGAAATGAGAGCATTGGGACTTGTAGTAACTTCTACTTTTTTTTATGAAACCGCTCAAAAGTAATATCAGAAGGTCAACAGAAGGCGAGAATTTTAACTTAAAATGAAGCACAATTCCAGCTGTTTTTAAAGTATAAATGGCTTCAAAACCAGTTTCCACTTCAAATGAGGCTTACACAGCTTCATGTAATCTTTATTGTTAACATTATTGAGCGTCTAAATAGACAAAGAATCATTGAACATAAGAAAATATGGAAGAAAGGGATTTAAAGCAATGCAATAAAGAAGAATCGAAAGTCAATAAAAACGAACTCGATCCTTTTTTGAGGAAGTCGAAGGCTTTTATCTCGTCTGCCTACAAACCGGTCTCATCTTAGAAACACCAAACTGTGGTGTTATGTTTCAATCATGTCTGCCTTAAGTTCTTTCTTAATCACCGCTCAATTTCAATTCTATTTCATTAACAAATTGACACTCGAGACTTTGTCGACTATTTTCTTGTCTTCTTATTATTTCGTCATTCAATTGGAGCGTGAGATTGACAACGTTATGACGAAAAGTGGTTGGAATTTTGTCTTTGAATGTTCTTATAAAATCATTGAGAAAATGTTAAAAAAAAGAGTTTTTCTGATTAGACGTTAGCAAGTGAATTTGATTTGATAGAAAAATGTTGTCAACAAACTTTGTAGATAAAAGCGAGGTGAAAATAATCAATAAATAAGGAAAAGAAGTTTGTTTATTTTTAGCCGTAGTTCTTCAAATAGATAACAGTTTTAGCGAGTCGAGTTCAATGAAGCATAAATGTGGAAGAATTCAACAATATTCACAATTGAACCTTTTCCATTTATTGATTGTGAAAGAGCTTTTGCTTCATCTTGACTTAAAACTCTTTCAATGGATGTCATAAAAAGAAAGAAACTTTTTATCAGACTGTGTCACTGTCCTCGCTTTTTTTTATAGTTTTTCGTAAACAAATTAATTTAAAAGTCTCTTTTCATTTTATTTCTTGATCTTCACGTTGATTGAATTATTTAACTTCGAACGATAAATCATTTGGAGTGTCGCCCACAAGCAACGCATTATTACGTTCCATCGACATTTTAACTTTTTCGAACCAAATCAGAGCAGTTAAAAATTCCCTGCGGTTTTCATTCTTTTCTCTTTTCTCTACTCGTGGTTTGACCTTTAAGCAATTTCATATGCACAACCAGAACTTTGTTGGTTGTTCACCTTCACTTCCTTTGACTTTGCTTTTAAATATAATTGACTTTCATTATCGCAACGTTCCATGTGAATGTCTCACTCAATATTCTTTAATAAGCAAGCAACTCATCTTCTTTCAGAAATGACACGATTCCCTCGCACATAATTGCAAATGGAATCGGAATGAAGCGCCGTTACTTATTATTTAATTGAGCGTATTTCTTCTTTGTATAATTTTTAAGAATTAAAACATTCAACAATATTGTTGAAATAGCTTGAAATGCTTACTCTCCGCCGGCTGTCGATTTGATTTAATATTTTTGCGCTTGATTTCATAAAACGATCAATTTGAAGCAATAAAGATGAAAGGAAAACTTTCGCGGCTTTCAGAATCTCAATTAAAGTCTTTTAAAAGCGTATCAAATATTTTTGATTGGCCTGCAAACCTAATTAGAAGTACGATTGTGTTTAGTAAGTTCATAAGAGACAATTGATTGGGTGTTGCGTCTGATTCAGCCTTCAATCAAATGTTTTGTTAAAGCTGCTTTAAATCAATCATATAAATATTTACATCATATCGACATTGAAAGTCTTTGTTATAAAAATCAAAGATTTCTGCAACTTCTTTCCTTCTTTTTTCTTCGACATCTTTTGAACCATGCAAATAGCTTAACTTGTACCACATTGCAACTCATATGTAGAAGTTGAACAATCTCAAATTATGTAAGAATTTATATTCACCTTTATTTAAATTTTATCTTAGTTTTTCATCCCCCAAGCTATCATCACATCTTTGATGATTTCTTTATTGCAGATTCATGAATTTTAAATAGTCAAAGGAATTACATAAAATTATCAACTAAGCAAGCATATTATGCTCAACATCAACTAAACTGAAACTCCTTCGTGTTTTTGTAATTACAATCTCGACATCACAAAAGAGTTTTGTTGTAAAAATTCTAATCAGTTGCTTTAAGCGAAAATCGTGACTGGCGGTCGTCGGAACAGAAGAATCGTATCATAGGCGTTTAAATAATAACAATCGACTTAGAAAGTGCCTTTTTTTGCACACATAAAACATAAAATCGCTGTTGCTGCGGGTAAAATGAGTTTAAGCAACTGCTTTCCCGCAGAGATCTTGTCTTTATTCATCTTATGAGAACTCTGACCGCTTCTCTTTGATCCACGATACCGATTGCTCGTCATAAATACCATTCAAAGACAACAAATTGTCGAACGAATATGGTGGAAAAGAAAAATTGTTCTGCTTACTTTTTATGCAAAAAACGACCCACATCATCATGTTTTCATACACAATGATGTGAGGCGCGTCAATTCCTTTTATTCGTATAGATGAATGGCTTGGAAGCTCTCTTAATTTGCACAAACTCGAACCACATTTCAGCTGTTTTTATAGTGAAGGCCAAGTGTCTCAAATTGAAAGCGTATCGATTTCCCTACTTAACCCGCCACTAGAAAACGAATTCGAACTCAAACTTAATTGTAATCTTTTGTTATTTTAATAACTACGACAATATACACAATATCAATGTTCACGCCATCGTGTGTAGGCGAAATAACTTTATAAAGTAAAATAAATGTTACAAAACATTAGAAGTTGAAAAAAACAAAAATCAAAGTTTAGGTTTTAAACGTGAAACAAGACGTCGTAGTTCATGAGCATAAAAAAAGAGAAATTTTTGATATAAAATTCACGAAGTTGCTTCTCGTTTATATTTTTATGGATAGGAAATGCTTCTGACAATTAAAGGAATCCGATTTCAACATACATCACTTTAATGTTTTACTACTATTTTAGTTCGTCGGTGACCCAAAAATATTCTTGAGTAACTTTCCAAAACATAATCCAATCGTTCTCAAACTTCTAGGCTTCTAGTCACGTTCATGTTGAAATTTTTAATTAGCTTCCATCTGATTACATGAATGGATTGGATTGCTGACTAATTTACAAAAAGCAAAAGCGGAAGAAATGTCTTGACGAAAAGTGAAGTTGATTGTCATAGGCACCAGATTTCCGTACAAACTTTTGACAGAATCATGAAAGAAAATTTCCATCAGTGTTGTTTGTGCTGCGTTGCCAAATTTTCAACGTCACACTGTTCATTGTCGATTATCGATTTTCTCCACTCCACATTTTACGTTCACTTTTGTTTATATTTTTCGGGAATATTTAGTTGAACTGGTTTGCTTTACAAGCAATGTGCATTGTTGTGAAAATTATTTCCATTGAAAATGAACATAAAATGTATTCTGTGTACATTTTCATCATACTCAATGCATTCAACTTCATTTAAATATTCAAGAAATTTGCATGACATTTGATGAACAATTGAATAGACTTTTGGTTCTCAAGAAAATGAAATTGAAAATTCCCTTTTATGAACATTCACGGGGATTATTATTTGACTTAAGAGAATACTTGAAATTTGTCATTGCAGACGAAGAATTTCGTTGCAAAGTTTTAGGCTTCAAAAAAACTTACAAAAAGCTTCACGTCGTGTTTATTCACATATGAAAAAGCAAACAGTTCACTTGATGATACGAAAGAAAATCGATGAGGGTAACATTTTATTTATCTTCTTCCAATATGGTGATGAATTCTTATGCTCAAGCATCACAATTTTTGATATCTATGGAGCTTGTTTCTCCTGCATTTTAAATTATTTCCGTTTCCTTGGGAGGCTCAGTCGTGCGGTATTTTATTTGAGGGGGTGTATTCATGTGTTTGCGTGAACTTAATCTCGATATCATCTGAATATAGAAACATTGCTTACATATATGGAGTGAAATGAAGCTTCTTATTAGCATTAGTTCGAAATCATAGAAATATTCAAAGATGTTTAACTTTAAATATGGCTTAGGGAGAGTTTGTTTTTGGCAATGCGTGCGAAGACATATCTACCAGTATGTAAAGCAATCTCGGTGTCTTCTTTCAAGTTTAAATTTGGTTAAGTTTTGTAACGTTTAATGAAGTATCATTGACAATAGGCGTAGATTTACTACAGCGTTTTAAGATATCAAAAGCACATGAAATTGTTTACGCTATCTATAAAGAGCGTCGATGACAGCATGCAAATGTGTCACTTTACGGTTATCAACAAATGTCAATAAGTTTCTCATTTCACTGGCTATAATTTCTCCATCGTGATCACTCAATGATCCAAAAATATTTGCTTTTTCATCGTCATTTGAGTCGACGATGAAATTTGAATGAATCCAATTTGTTTGTTTCACTTTTCATTAAAATAATATTAGATGCCTACTCAGATATTCAAGAGAAAAAAGAAATTTTAAATTTGTTTTAAAATCGATCTATTGAGAAATGAGATTAACATAATGAGACCGTGAAGCTCAGTGGATCAGTGTTAAGCCAACCCAATAAAACATTTTAATTTGATCCAATATCTCTGCTTCCGTCATTGAATTTCTTTTATTATAGAAACTGAATGGAATTAAAGAAAATATTGAAATAATTGATCCTCTTGATTCTGAGCACGCTCTGAATTAATCGGTGACAATTTTTCATCCCACAAACAAACAACTGTTGCGGTTAGCAAATCAAAATGCAAATTAGACATAAAAAAACTCGCACTCGTTAATTAAACAGTTCATAGCTTACGATTCCCGCTGCTCTCTATAAATATTTCTATTCGCGATGATGATTTCACCATATTTAATGACATTAATGGTGGGTCATCATCTCGTTTCGCTCTCTATTAAAAATCTGAATTACTATCAAATTAGACATTCCTTCTTCTTTCGGCATATTTTTCTGCTTATTCAATCACTGCCGAGTTCATGAATGGACTAAATTAGATTATATCGCAGACATAAATATTTTTATAGCTTCATTCCTCAAGATGGCTTATTTGTCTTTCTCACATAGTTTTCGATGTTCTGTCCATTGATCAACAACATATGTCGATGACAAACAATATGAAAAGGGTTTAATTGCATAAGAAAAATTAATGTGAAAGGAAAATGAATGTTTTCCATCTAAAACATTGAAAGAATTTATTTAAACAATTTAAAGAGCAGATGAATGATCGATTAATTAAACATGCGCTTGCATCTAACAAGTTTTTAATTAATTTTTCAGTTCTTTGCTTTCTAGTTGAACAAATGGAGAAGAAAATTATTTTGGACGTTAAGTAATTGAATCAAAAAGCATTTCTCTGCGTCATTCATGATTAATTTTTATTAGATTATCAATATTTGATTTTGTTTCACTTATGTTGCTCAACAATGAGACTTGGAAACATTTCTTTCTTTCGCTTCAATGTTTAAGATGAAGCTTAGAGCAAGAAAACATATTTTCATCCCACGTTTTAATCCAAATGCTCTCTCTTGCATTTTGTAAAATCATTGCAGCTGTTAAGCTATTATTTAACTCCATTAAAAGCAACATGTGAAACGGGAAGGGCTCTGAAGTGCTTTCGAAATTAAAATCTATGTAATTTGCATAAAACACGACATGCTGATAACTGGCACAATATCTAATCGAGAGTCAACTCTGCGAGAATGAGGCTGAGTTGCACCTTTAACGGATAAATAAATGAATTCTTTCCATGCTCTGAGTTCTCTCGCAATAGAAAGTACTTGCATGTAGACTGTTGTTTTATGTCAAACGTACACATAGTGTGAACTTTTTCATGACAAAGTTTAAGTAGAGTTTGCAATCCCCAATCAGAGCTGCTGGAAAAAAAAATTGCCAACATGGATGAAGTAGTTAAAACGTCAATTAAAAAACGAGAAGCATTTTAAAGAAAATAAAAATAAGTTTATCGACATAAGTTTGAATAAGAAATGTTAAATCTCGAGATCTGTAACACGAAACAAGTGACTATGAGTCTTTACGATCAGAAGGAAAAAAATGAAATAAAGTTTGAGCGCGATCGTTGTTGTATTGCCAGAAGTCTAAAATTAAACATTTCTTCTTTTTCTTCTCATGCCCTGAACGGCTTATTACGAAATCACAAAACTAAAAGAAAAAGAAAACAGAAATCAATCTGCAACACAAAACACAAACATTCTTCCCTCTTGATGTGATTGCATCTTAGTCTGTTATTTATGCATCTCGGGCTGGCTTTTATAACTCCAACAACTTTTCAAGTGATCTTTTCTGGCTTTTCGTTTTCGTCAAGTGATGTTAAAGGCACAAACGTGGCACGAGAGAGAGAGAGACAGAGCCCTCGCTTTTAATAATGGTGCTTATGAACATTAATCATCAAACTGTTTACTACAAAACATGTGTTTTTCTTCTTAAAGAGGTCGTCGCTTGCTTTCCTGGAAGACTTAGTTTTAAATGCAGTATGACATACTTTTCTCTGTCAAGCTTAGAACATCTTTTATCGCTACTTTATGACCGATACCGACAAAACAAAAAAGAAGAAAGAATTTTATAAATTTATTTATTCGAAGGAAAATGAACATAAAAAATTCTCAAATTCATTTTGTTCCTTTAAAATAATTGGAATAGCTGCAATGCTGTCGTTTTAGCGACATAATTTTAGTGCTTTAAACTTTAGCTATAAATTCGAGCAATGTTGCCAGATCTGCTTAGAAAAATGAACTTTTATGTCGACATTTGACTTATCGATTAATCATTCACCAAAATCTTTTGACTTTTTCTGCATGGCTATGCAAAAATATCTGACAACCTTAGCAATGGTTTTGGAATTGTTAATTTGGAGCAGATGTTGATCGACATTTATCGTGTGGTGTATTGAATGAATGAGATCGAAGCTGGAAGTTTGTTAAGTTTGAATCTGAAATTCAATATTTTGTGTCGAATTCGAGATGAATTTTTGTGTCCGTACAAGAAATTCAGGCAAGAAAAAGGCCAAAAAAAAAGATAAAAACCTTCGGAACGTATTAATGTCACAGACAGAATTTTTAGGGGAGTTAAAATGTCCTTAATGCGATTGTGACCGTAATTTGGTCGACTCGTGTTATCTTCATGTCTCATGTTGTCTTCGAGAATATCTTCAAGACGTTTTCATTCTTTTGTTTTTATGTGGACCATAAACACTCGAATGGCATGTTACTTAAACTCTCTTTCTTCATTTTCAAATTAACCTAAATTTTAACCAGATAATTGATTTCGTTAACTTCACCATCAATAAAGTTTTATATGTTTGAACAATCTCACGAATTCTTATCTCGAATTTGTTTGATTTATTTCTAGAATATTTTTCTTAATTGTTTCTATTACCGACGAATGAAAGTTTTTTTAAAATGAACTCGAATGTTGCGCCTTTCGCCACAAATCAAACAATAAAGAAACACGGGAATATTTTCAAGTATCTTCCATTCCTAATGGTCGCTCTCTTTTTTGTTTGCATTTCTTTCACTTAAAATGTATACAATTCGTCTTCATCTGACAGAGTTTATCGTGACGAAAGAAAACGAAATCGTTTAAAGTTTTAACTTTTAAGAAGAGATCTATTTATGTCTTAAACTTTCCTTTCTCTTGATACATAAAGGGAAACGACTTGAATTATTGTCTTTGGTTTTTGGTTTCCCATTCGAATAATTCAGAGGAAAGAAATGTGTTTAAGGCAATTTAAATAATATCCCAATAAGAAGTTACACTCACACATTTCTTAAAAAATTACTTCCAAGGAATCTAAAATAATCTCGTAACAAATGTCAATATTTAAAAAATAACTAAAAGATTTCATCATTTCAAATTTATCCAGAAATTTCAAGCAAAGCGCACCTCATGAAAGTAAAATTTATTTAATTATGGAAATCAATGAGCATGTTGAGTCTATAAATATGAAATAAGCGTGGAGTAAAGCCTCAAGAAATCAAATCAAAAGGGGATATTTCCCCAGTTATGTCACTTGATATCTTCAGGATATCAAAAAGAAAAATTCTAAACGATAATTAAATTTATGTTTCAACGTCTCATTCATCTTAAGGTTCATGCGTAAAAATTAAATGTGCGTGGAGGAAAATGTAAATATAAAAGAAATGGAAAGACTGAGATGAGAGCAAAATTTAATTTACAAAATCTACTTAAAATAATTTCATCTTCACTTTCTCAGATATTTTTAGATTAGTAAGATGTTTGTTATTTTTAATTTGAAATTGCGAAGGGAAGTGAACTTTTAACGGGAAGTTTGCGTTTCGCTTCAATGTCAAATAAGCATGTTGGACATTATTTCATTTACTTTAACAATTTACACCATAATAATCAACAAGCTTACGCGAAACTCAATTTATAGCACTTGAATTATGAGGAAATGAGTTCCTTGCTTCGCCTACATAAAGTGAATTTGTACCCGGAGAGTAACTCGACCGTCAGGATTTTCTCTGTTATTATGAACGGTTAATCGAAGACAACTCCAAAGTGTTAATTAAATAATAGTCAAAAATATACAAATTTCATGCAGCACCACAAATCAACGTCAGTCTTAAGTTAAACCAACAGGATTTCCTACTTTTCAAAAATGAAAAACACTTTTATACTGCAATCCACATCATTGCAGTAATAATAATTAAAATATAATGATAAATGTGAAACAAGTTGATTGTCACTCCCCAGATAAAAATGTTTTTATTTTCATCTCCATTTTCATTTCCCATTATTGTTACTTGTTCTTGATGTTCCAATTTTACATAAAACAATATCAATCAGCACAGAATAACAACATAAATCAACACACCTCGAATGTGCATGTTTGTTTTTATTCTCTTCTGTTATTCATTTGCATTAAATTACGATGTTTATCATCTTAAAAGAAAAAGCATCAAAACAATAACAAATTTAATTGAATCTCAATTTGAACGTGAGATTTAAATCAGAATTCATTTGAATGTGTTTGAAAATTGAATTTTATAAATGTCTGACACCTTCTCAGATATATTCACGTAAACAAATAATGTTTGTTGACATCAATTGCCTGATTTTTAGCACTGATAAAAACTTCGTATTTTCACCATTTCAAGTTGAATTTTATAATTCTTTTTATGACTTCCGACGAACCGTCGTTTCATTTAACAGCACAGTTTAAAATTTTTCGTCTAGTCGTATTGTCTGCTGATTCACAAAGCGAATGACGACTTTTTTTCCTTTCGTAAAGCATACAAACATAGTGAACAAGTTTTGCACGTTGAATTAGTAATAAGTAATGTCATTACTTAAAGTATTCTCCGCAATTATCGTTGAATTGTAAATGTAAAATTGTAAAAGCAGCTGCGATTGTTGAAGATAAAATGTTTAACATTTGTAATGTCATTGACATCATAAAATGAAATGAGCTTGAATTCCACCCACCACAACAGAAAATGTTTACAACACTAATTTGCTATCGTGTCTAAACTCTCGAAATCAATCGATCTTTGTTGATTAAAAGTTATCTAATCATTCGACTACACATGTGATAGAACACCAGGAAAGTCGTAAATTTGTTCGTCTTTTTTTGGTTTGTTTACTTTGGCACCGAATGGATAATAAAATTAGATTTCTTTTCTTACTTTTTTCAATGTTTGCTCACAAATTTAGATTTTCCTTACTTTATTGATTGAAAATAAAATCTTATTCTATGTTTAGAAGAGTTTGTTTACCTCAATAAGGGAACGATGTCATAAGCAATCACAATCACTCCAACATCCAGTGCAAGAATGTGATTTGCATTTCACAATTTAAACGAATAGCTTAATAGAGATTTGAGGCCATTAAACATCAAGTAACTGACCGATTGTCATTAATTAAACAACATAAACTTGATCTATTACGTTCCCGTCTCGTGGTCGTCGTCAACATTACATATTAAAACGTGTGAATTGAATGTATAAACTGGTGAGAAAAAATCTTAACAGGAAACATGAAGCATCAATGATTGTAGTGTCAATTACAATTAGCATCCATTTATGTTCATAAATATTCTTTAAGTCATCAGTAATGCTTTATCTTCGATGGAAACTCTTTTTGGAATATATGTTCACATAATGAAGCATCTTTTGAATTTTTAAGCTTCTAAGTCAATTTAAGTTCATCATGCAAGTCATAAGTTAACACATTCGTTTAATAATTTTAATTATTCCTTAAACTTTTCAACTTTTACTGATCTCTAACAAAAAGAATAAAATAAATCAGAAGTTTTTATAATAAAATCATTTTTATGGAAATTATTTTCCCCGGTGCAAGCAACTCGACTTTATTAATATTTAATGAGTGTCAGTTGTTTAATGAAGAACCCATTTAGAAGAACGCTAACTGTTGGCTAACGGCTTCTTCAATCGTTGACCTCACCTTTCAAAAGCTTTAATTCCTTCGAAAGAAACAAAACTCAATTAAATCTTTAGTTTTTATTTATTTTTTATACTTTTTGCTTAGCGCGCTTCCTTGGAGGCAGAGAGGAAGAAAAAAAATCTTAAATGGAATAATGAGCTTGCGAACATAAATAAAATCTCGCTATGATGATTCAATTACGCTCAAAGTTGTTAGGTAAAAATTATTCACAGCAAAGATGAATCGTAAAACTTTTTAATCATCCAATCATTCTAAAAGCTTCTAAATAATGCAAAATGTAATCCTTGTCGTTAACTTCTCATTTAAAATTCACCATTTTAGGTAAAGTTTTCTAACTTTAAGATTGATACAACTAAAGTCTTGTTTTACTTGGAGAAATTTCTTAGAAAATTAATTAAATTTAATTTCCGTTCCACCCATTGCCCTGTCGGGGGAAAATTTTAATTAAAAAGCATTTGTCAAAGTATTTATGGTTCATGGCAAATTAAGTTCACATCAAATAGCGACATATTTCATGGAGCTTCGAACGAGAAACTTTAAACAAATTTGTCGCTCGTGTAAAGTCACAAGTTCGTCTTAAGTCAACCAATACGTTGAATTTATGATGTTGCGGCTTTTATTTTTCTGTTCACGTACTAATAACTTGTGCATTGCATCATTCATGAGGATTACGATGAAAGATAAAGACAGAGAAATGAAAACGAAGAGTGATGCTTAAAATATTCGATTAAACAATGTAAATAAAACGTGAATAACTTTTACATAATAAATGGTCAATTAGTCTGCGGTTCTATCGTAGAAATGATTTTCTTTACTATTTCGCAAGAGCATAAGTTGTTAGATATTAACAACCAACAAATTAAGAAAAACAAAAGAGCTGAATCATCGATTGAATAACAATCGAAGAGAAATTTGTCGCAATAAGTTGTGATCCATTTGATATTTTTATATCTAAATAAGTATGTAACCCAAAGCTTTGTAATGAGAACATGCGAAAGGAGGTCGTGGGTGAGATTAGATTAGACACGAAGTTCTGTCATTACTCATGGCAAGTTGCAAGTGGCTGATATTATTTCATAATCCGCCTAAGAGGCTATCTTATAATTTTCAATATTTCATTGAGTAATAAACAATCGATACTTAGTTCCCGCAAGCAGAACATAATATTGAGAAGCCTTAATACATAAAACTACGATTCACGATTGAAATTTTATCGAATTACAATCATAGAAAAGTTTAAAGTTATTGCTTTATAAAATCTGACAGAAAGTAAACGGGAAAGCACAGTTAGAAGATTTCAAAACGCAATCTGCTGAGGAAAAATCTTTATCGTGTGTACACAAACGAGTTGAAATCGATCGAAATATAAAAAGACTTCTTTGCTTTATCTAAAATAAGCTGAGTTCATTAAAAACAACTGAAAGATTATCTATCTATCTGAAAAGGTAAAACGCCTTTCAACTTAAAGCTCACAAACATATTACAACGGGAATAATGAGTTCGTAATTGCTTTCGCGCTCTACGATGAATTTTTTATTTATTCTGAAAGGTAATGCGATGAAATTGATAGTTAATTAGGCAACAATTGGAACTTAAACACTTTCGAACTTAATAAATGGGTTCGTTGAACTTGAACGTTCGATCGATGCGTGTCGCTTCATGCAATAATTTTTCATTAACTTAGGATTATTCATCGCATGTTTAATAACAGTTTTTTTGCATTTTATTGAGATATTTATCGCGCCATAAGCAACCGCAATGTTAACAGATTATGTACGGAAAAATTAAGATGTTAAGATGACAGCAAAATCGACAAGCTTCGCTCATGTTAAGATTTTAAAGCAGCTTTATTTAAATGTTGCGCAATAGAGATTCGATCCAAATACAGAAATGAATTTCTATCACGTTACAAATCACTTCATCAGATTGACCTTTTGCTCTGGTTTCGCTTCTTATGTGAAACGTGCAAAAAAATAGTTACAAATGGAATTGAAATTTCATACCGAAGAATGGTTTCTAACACCATAATTAAGTTGTTGTGTTGTTCAAGTTTCCTATTCAGTCTCATTTGAATTCCACAAACTCTTATCCTAACATTGATGATTGAAAGTCCGTAAATCGTGATGAATTCTTCGAGATAAATAAAGCAGCGGAAAATCAACGATAATTTCTTGAACAGAAAGCACGAGGCTGAAAGCAGAAGTTTCTCGTATCAATTAATGAATGGAATTGAAATCAATTTGAAGCTAATTCTAAAGTTCGAAATCAGATGAAAAAAAAGAAGTTTGTATTGAATTGAAAGAATTTATTCGATCGTGAACTGATTTTGAATTGCAATAAAAACTATTTCTAAGCAATCAAATAAATGTTTAAGACGGTCAGTTCATTTAATTCAAGATGTGCGGTTAATTGAACACGAAGTGTTCATAAAGTGTTGATTGAAGTGTTTACCATCATCTAAAGCCCACTTCTCACCCCAATTGCTGCACTTGTACACATATCGATTGAATCTTATTAGTTTTTCATTGCTGCTTCTTTTCACATCTGACTTTATGGGCTCATAAAGTTTTATTTACACTCAAACGGACATGTGTAACGAAAACGATGTGAACTTTTTTCTGTGGAATCATAAATTATCATGTTAATCATTTCACTAAAGATACAAATCGATTTTTAAACTCTCGTAGTTTAATTTTTCTCTTAGAAAAAGAAACTTTCATTAAAAAGCTTTTGATCCTTTTTACTGGTGAAAATCAAAGCACAATAAGGTAAACAAAACCATTTTCTTCTGACCCTTTTCCCATTTCTCTGAGTTTCAAGTAATTTATTTTTCCAACTTTTCGATTAAATTGCTTTCTCAATGTTTCCGGTTTTTTATGTTCCATGTCAAGGTCAAGAATACTGAAGAGATAAAACGAACACTTAAATTGAATGAACACAAAAGTTTGTAACAACTTTGAAGAAGATCAAAAGATTCTCTTTATATTCTTAACAGTAAAACAGGATGAAGTAGATGATAATTGTAATATCGCTTTGAGCTTCTGCTAACTGATATGCAAATTAAGTTTTGTCGTGTCTTTATTTTCCTGCTGAATCATATTCAACAATTGCCAATTTGAATTTCAAATGTTATTATTTGCTCTTGAAATAGAAGTCACACAAAAAGAACAGCAACAAAACGACTCAATTACTCTTAACAGTACCAATCGGTCTCAAGTTTCATTATAATATTTTATTTCTACTGATTTCAATCAATCGTTCGTTGAAATGATTGATGATGTGAAAACATAATACTAATCAGTAATTAAATATTATGCAACTATAATAAATTGCGAGTTAGTTTCAATGATAACCACAAGCTGAATAAAAATGATTCATTTTGTTATGAAAAAGTAAATCAATAATTAAACTTTCTTTTCTACTCCTATGACCGAGCTATTCATCAAATATAATCAATTGCCAGTCATCGGCGACGGTTCTATTTGATTAGGTCAAGGTTTCATTAAGCAAATCGTTTCTAAAAACGTAACTTTGGTGTTGTGTATGACGTAAAATGAATTCAATGATTCACTGAAGTTTAAAACATATAATGAAAATTTATAAATCCCCTAAAGCCAAGTTTAAAGATTTTAAACTTTCATTAAGATTCCTTTTACCGAGAATTTGGATTCCCATTACTGTCAAACTTACGAAAATTTTATGAAGTCTCGTTATGAAATTTAGATGAGATGAAGGTTTTGTGTCTCGTTAAGAAAGCTTCTCGTTGTTGTTATTAAACATTTCAATCTCAATAAAGTCATGAACAACGATTGATGGACGGAATGGATCGGAGCCCTCATAATGTTATCGATTCAATTTAAATTAATTATCATAGACGACTCACAAAAAAATGAAGGGGGAAATTTATTTATTTAAGGTTCAGTAAGGAAGTTTATGATAATTAATGATCCGAGAAATTGTTGTTTAAATTTCATGTAAACGCAACATAAACACGTTATTGCTATAGATCATCTCAATTTCAATTTCACACTAATTTTTATAACTTATAATAAGATTTTTCAAGAACTTCGATATGTTCTCAACAAATAAATATAAAAACATTTCAAAGGAAATCGGCATTGTCTCGAGTTCTTGACATTTACCGCCTTTGCATTCCAACCTTCGTTAAATTTATTGATGTAGCTCAGCTCTGATTTCATTTCACTGATTTCAAAAGCTCGAAATATATTCGCCCTTTGTGCGTCGTTGTTTCATTATTTCCCTCCCTTAAGCGAACAAACGGTTCTTCAGATCTCAAGTTAAGAGACTTTACGCCCTCCATAAGTTTTCGCAATTGAAGATTTATAGCTCTCAAGCTTGTCATCCTCATAAAACACTTTTAGATTCGATGAATTTTCTGCACGATTTTTGCTTCTTTTTACTTCTTTTTTTATATTTCAATTGTTCGCTGAGTAACAGTTAAACTTTCGGTCTTAAATTCAATTACGTTCAACATCAGAAAGCAAGCAAATATGCAATTGAGAGAAGCAGAAACATCATAAAAAGACGAGTGAAGAAAAATTGGCAAACATTTCGTTGTTCAACAACGATCATTATTCTCACTCTTAACAACTCAACAAAGTTCTTCTTTCTCAGTTTATTACTTTCTCGATCCCGATCTTTTATTTATGTAGAAAGAAATTCACAACATGCTTTGTTTAAATCAATCTCGAGATCTCCTGGCAGCCAACTTGTTTAGTTTTCGAATAAATGATTTGTTAATTGTGTAACGAGATGGCGAGAAAGAGTTTTTCACATTTCAATTCTTTTATTAGATGTGAATGAAACATAACGGAAGTAAAACGGCTACTTCTTTGCTTTAACTGGCTATTGAAAGAGTTTTTGAACTAATTTGGATTTTTCACGTAGTCTCACCTCGTTAAGAAATGGGCCACGAAAGAGAAATTAGTTGAATTAATTTATCACGATGGCATAAAATGAAATAAGAAATTAAAAAAAGGTTTCGGGAGACGTTTAACTCTCATGTTTACATTATTCAAGAAGTTAATTACTTGTAACAGTGACCCGTTTGTCGCACCTTCTGACCACAAACATTTAGCACATTTAAATTAAACATTTTTCCCTTTTTTACAGAACTCGAGCCCACTATGGGAAGATTTCATCATTAAAGCGACAAAGCTCCACGCTTGTTTGAGGTAAGTCAAATTCGTTAAGCAAATTTTCAATGTTGCGTCTAAATTTGTGAAAATATTTTGTTTTAAAGCGCCACCAGCTGGTTTTTACATGACAAATATTACTTTGAATAAAATAACATTGCAAAAGTGTGCAAATGTTGTGGGAATTTGTTTCTTATTACTTTTAAAATCGTTCATTCTCACACATTAAAATCGTCAACATATTGCAAGATGAATTGAGATTCAAGAAGAATTGCGAACTGATATAAATCTTCCGTTCAACTTCTTACGTCAATCTTCTCATACAATAATGTTTCACATGATATATTATGATGGTTTCTGACTTATATTCCATCAGTTATCATAAATTAAAAATCATGACAAGATGAAAAAGATTGTTGTGGATTAAATGAATAATAAAGAGTAGCAAGAGTCTGTCATGAAGAATCCATTAATTGAAATATCTAATTTAGTTCCACATGTTTGCGGTAATAAATAAATAAATAGCACGTGAATGATGTAACCAGAGAATTAAATCCTGAAGCACAGACAATGCAGTAATTCATATTAAGTGGACTAATCCAAAGGTGATAATTCGATTAGTGCACTTCTAAATAATTTTCTATAATTAAGTGTCTGGATGCTTGCGCAATTTCATGTCTATAAATAAAGAATTGTTGTTGTCTTCAATTTGCTACTCGCTCATGATGATAACGATGTTTTATTTATTTATTATTGATAACACTGTGAGAACTTCCACCCTCTAGCACTTCGCTCTTAATTACATTAAATTAATCAAAAAAAAATTGTAATGAAACTGAAATCGTAATATTAGTCTCGTAATTAATTTATTACTTTATGAGCGTACAACATAAATGGAGTCACTTTTTCTTTTTTTCATTCATTATAATGTTAATAACATAGATCAATTGTCTCATTTCAGAGCTGCCATTCAAGCAATTTCATCATATTTGGAAGCATTCCAAAAAATTGCAGACGCCGCAACCAACTCAAAAGGTATGTTTACAAGTTCGGAATAGCGTTTTATGCTCGCTCATGCGTTATTTCGTCTCCTGACTAACTGATTTACACTACGGCTAGATTTTGTTGCATTTTGGTGGTTTTTAAAATTACAAAACCATGAACTCGATGTGGTGAAAGAGAATGGCTTTTGGTAAACATGAAATATCGAAAATTTACACTGTTAACGTACACATCTCAGTCGTTGTATTGTTATGTAATTCCTTCCTCAAAAATTGTATTTTTCTTCTTCAAGTCAAAGTTCAAACGCTTACTGAAAGATTGAAAATCGTTTTTTGAAACGAGCAAAGATCGAAATAGAATGAAAAGAATCTTGCCTCATCATTTCTGCTTCAATAAGCAATTATCAACTGCTTTAATAAATCAAGGTTTCGAAGCACAAGGTCAGAGAGATAAATAGAATGATTTAAATCATGGGATTCCGCAAAATATTTTGCTTATCGTTGCCAATTTACTTAAGTAAATATTTGCAGACAGATAATTTTGACAGATTGGTCATAAGTGTAAACATTGATTCATTCATTTAAGCAAACTTCAAGATCACCCACAACAAATCCTAAATGATCGTTAAGAGCGCTGAAAAGATGTTTCAATTAAAAATTTTGAGGGTCTTTCATCTGTGTTGATTAATTGGAGAGCTTGAAAAAAATAATTTCGTGGTTGTGAAGTTAGTTATAAAGTAACTTTTAGATCTGTAGGATTTTGTTTCTTGTAAGTAGATAGCGATGTCAATAAATCTTCCGGTTAATTAATTCCCTCTTGATTCCCTAATTAACTTCGGCTTACATAATAGACTTTGGATAACGACTTGAAGTTAAGCAATTTCTCTTAATTTATTTTCGTCACATGTAGAGGAAATATTCATGTTTTTTACCAATAAAAGAAGTTCATCCAACCTTTCAGAATTTCCTCTTCGAATGAAACTGTAACAAATGTTTAATTCATCACGGTCAAGCGTGACAATTTGAAAGATAAAGTGTGAAATAATATCAAAGAATGTGGAAAGTCATTGTGATCTCTCACAACAAATGAGAAATTAAACGATTTAGAAATATAAAAAGAAGAAATTGAAAGCTTAATTGTCTCATAATGAATTGAATCAACGACCTGGAAGCCTTAGAAAATTGTATTAAATTTTCTACTTTCATAAATACCTCTTGAGTCAACCAAGTGAAGTGAAATGCATAATTTAGGATCTGTCCGTTACTTATCCCCACTCAACTGAATAAAGAATCATGAAAAAGTAAAATTATTTAAATGGGTCAAATATTTTCCTCTTAGCAATGATACGGAAATTGATTCTTGTTCTTGTAAAAAGCTTCAGTTATGTAATCTTGCAGTGAACATCATAAAAGCAATTTTGAATGCTGTATTCAAATTTAAATTTCCATCAAGTCACTTTTCTTGTTTCTTTAATTTAATATTCTTAAGAAAGCTTCGTATTGAAGACTTGAAAATTCTTCCGCTCGGCTTTTCTGAAAAGAAAATTTTATCTCATTTAAGAGAAAAAAGAAATTTCATCTCATTTCACTCATCAAAATTGATTTTCTTTTGTTAAACTTTTCCACTTGCTCATGGTATCTTGCCAAGTAAACGATGCTGAAATTTGAGAAGAGATTTTGATGAGTGTACCTAAGTTAAAGTATTATGTCAAAGCTGAATGAATGAATTAAGCAATTTATAATTTACAATTTAAAAGAGAAGAGCTAGTCAACATTTTACAATTCTTATCGCGTCATTAGCTACTTTCATTCCCTAACTAAGTATCAAATATTTAAGAATGAGAAGACAAAGAAACATGAGATGACAATTTCAATTAAAACAATGTACAACATGAGATTATATGGAACAACAATTACTAGAATGTTTGTTACAAATTATTTTATGCATGTCCTAACTTTATTTTAACGAAAAATGTTCCCTTGGCAAAGAAGTCGAAACTTTTCATTCTGATTTATTTATTTAACAATTTTTCAAACGACGACACACGACAACAATACAAAAGCCAATAAATTTTAAATTGTTGATAAAATTGAATCGGTTTCAATGGTAAAATGCCATCAGTTAGAAATGAAAAATGAAAGAATAGCAGGAAACTTGCAACAAAAGCAATTTTTATTGGCATTCTCGTCGTTGTTTATTTAGATGTATCGACTTTTGTGAAATTCGAATCAAACGTGGTTGACGAAGATTCTAAGCTCAGCATATCGAGTTGCAATATTTCAACTACCTGCTATTGACATTTCATTAAATATGCTAATTAAAACCTCAAAACATTAAATTTTTCTCGTCTAATCGACATCTGTCTAGTTAAGCGACCTTGAAGAGTAAATAAAATTTTTATTTTGCGGTTTGCACGCTTTAGAGAATTTTATAATTGTTGATAAGAGAAGCACTTCGTACTTAAATAGGCCGCAGGTTATGCATTAAACCATGCAATTTTTGATTAGTTGATTTACTGTCTTCGTCAAGGAAATGTACGCGTAAATAACAACAAAGCTTGTAATGGAATGAAATTTAATCACGAAAAGTTTTCTGAGGTTGCTTTGCATATGCTGCAAATATTTAATTGAAATCTGAAGTTTTTTTCTTCGCGTTAGGAATTTTTAATTAATAAAGTTACATAACTTACAAATTCCGATCAAGGATATCGAATTTCCATTTCAAACAACTCTGTTAGTCATCATTTCTTAATATTTTCGCACATCTGCTTTCACGCTGAAAAATCTTCTGCAGTTTCAAACGGAACAATTCTTTAATCTCCAATGCGTGATGAAATTGAGTTCAAGCAGATTAAAAATATTTTATTACTATCGTGTCACGACTTGAATTACAATTTACAATAACAGTTCATTAATAACAATTGATTATTTTATGTTGAATGAAAGAATCCGTAAAGAATGAAACATTGACCCGGTATGGTAGTTTGTTGAAAGACTTTAACAATGTATACTTACGTTGTTATCTAACATTTCAATTACTTTTAACTTAAAATTCATTTGACCTCTTTTAAAAATGAATGATAAAGAAAGTCAACTGCTGGTAATGTTGTAGTTTTATGCGTAGAATCATTTATTCGTCTTCTGAATGATGAAATAACATCCGGATCATAATTAACCTTAAATATGTGCAGAAAGGCCTGCCTAGAGAGAATCCCAAGATAATTGTTGACGATGCTACAGAAACTAAACGTTAATTATACAAAAAACCTTATACAACAACCATGAAAAGAGAGAAGAAGAAGTCTTTAAAATTATGTAATTAATGTTGCCATTCTTCATCAACATAATTGACCAAAGGGATAAAGAGAAAAAACAACGAAAAAGCCGAGTTCAATGTGTTCCCATGAAGCTATTTTATTGTTAAATGAGACAAAGTCAAATTAATCAGTAGCTGTTGCTTTCAGAAAACCTTAAAGAAAAAGCTCAAGAACGAGCAATTGTTAATTGAAAGAAATTTATCGCCACTGACGATCTTATGCAACGTCGATGAGAACTAAAACCTGCACAAAAAAATTGCAGTCACCGTTGTTGAAACTTGATTTAAAAAAAGATATTAAAACGAAGCGAATTCATGTAATAAATGTTCTCTTTTATCTCTTCTGTCGGATCCAGCTGCCATTAATAATTGAATTTGCATGAATATTTATATAAATGAAAGAGTTTTGAAATGATGACAATTTCCGCACGATTTTTTTCATGATTTCTATGACAATTCTTACAAAACCCAGCGAGAGAATTTGATGAAAATCTGACAACAAACATTTCTAAATATTTCTTTTTCATTGCGCAACTGAAACGTATCTAATTACATCCGAAGCTTAAATTTAATCTTCTAAAATATGCAAATACTTATTGAAATAAAAAGAGTAAAGTTTCTAGTGAGAGATTCAAGAAAACAGAAATTAATTAACTGTTTTATCTTTTACTAACTTCTAAATTACTCTCTAAATAGAAAGAAAGCTTGATTTGAAATTAATGAAATTAAAATCAGAAGTTTCACCACAACTTGAATAAAATGAAACGTTAATTCATGGATCATGATCAAGTACTCGTCATTGTTTGTAGATAGTGCGGAAGCACAGTTGGTTCGCTTTTCAAGGTTGGATTTGTTGTTGAATCTTAATTTGCTTTTTTTGTTGTCTCGTTACAAGTTACAACAACAGTTGACAAATGTAACGTAGCGTTTGAAATGAAATTTTGCTTTCAAACTCTTTCTCATATGTTCCAATCTACTTGAAACGATGAATCTTCAAAAAATACTTTAAGTAGCTCGTAGCTAGAAGATATATTGCCTTCCTATGACATCTCGTTTTCGTTTCTTCTGATTGCCAAGAGGAAAACGATGTGAACATAAATAAGTAAGTGACTTGAGTTGCAAGTATTTGAAATTTTGACATAAAAGCTGAAATGTCATTTACATGACTTCAAAATGCTTGAAATAAATCAGTTCAGAAGTCAAAACATTTTCTTGCGCCTCCATCAAATTAAATTTCCATGATGAAAAAATGACTAAAATTAACAAAAACCTGCGAGTTATTATTGTTTGCTCTTTTTTGCTGAACATAATTTCAAATAATGAATCCTTTTTTACTTTCAGGGGCTTCTAAAGAGATCGGAACAGCGCTTACGCGAGTCTGTTTGCGTCATAAAGCTGTGGAAACGAGAATGAAAACATTCACAACAGCCATCATGGACAGTCTTATAATCCCTTTACAAGTAAAAGCTTTTCATGAGAAATTTATTAAATGTTTTATTAATTACCTTCTTATCTCTCGTCAGGATAAGCTTGAAGAATGGAAACGTCAAGTGGTGATTCTCGATAAAGATCATACCAAAGAATACAAACGCTGTCGTAATGAACTCAAAAAGCGTTCAAGTGATACTCTAAGATTACAAAAGAAAGCGAAGAAAGGAACGTCCGACAACCTTCAAAGCCTTGTCGACTCATCAATGCAAACTGTCAATCAACAAAAGGCAGAACTTGATGAGGTGGAAAGAAAATCACTGAGATCAGCCATGATTGAAGATCGAACACGATACTGTCAATTTGTAAACATGTTGCAACCGGTTGTCAAGCAAGAGTATGAAATGATGTATGAGTTAGGACATTTACAGGTAAATGAGATAAAATTTCTCTTATCTTAAAGATTTTGTCGTAAAATCTTCTTATGAGCTTTAAATTCTCTCAGACAACTTGTCTCCATAAATGAATTTAAGTCGCGACAATGTTGCAATCTAATCATGGAACATTTCCAAGTCTCCCACTGTGATAACAGCAATAATTTATTAGCCAAGCGGAAATTCATTATTAAATCATTATATAATTATAGGAAGCAATGCAAACTGTCAGCAACGTTACCAAAGATCCAACAGCATTACCTCAGGCGTCAGAAGAGTTGATTGCGGAGTCAAAAACCTCTTACAACCTTTATCCCGATTCGCCAACACATTCAAGCTCTCAAGGATGTTCAAACTCATTAGGTTCACGAAAGAGTTCAGTTTGCTCAATTAGTTCAATGAATAGCAGTGGTTCAAGTGGATCACCCGGTCATCAATTCCAAAGATCTTTATCACAGGTAAAATCATTCATGATCATTTTTGTTCCACAGTAAATGTTGTAAATGATTGTTAGAATACAAGCAAAAAAAAAGAGACATTTAGGCGTGCCGTGCCTGCTGCTGTTGTTTTCATTTCAGTGAGTGAACAATCAAGCGGCAATTTATGTCGAGTTGAGCGCTGTTTCACGAATTTTATATGTTTTTTGTTCTCGCGACGCATTTGGATTCTTCTCGTATGATTTACTTACATTTTTCAAGATTGATGTGAATTTAATTGCGTACAAATTGAAGTTTTTTTAATCTTTTTCTTTAACTTTGATTTCACCTTCTTTTGGGTTTTAATTTTGATTTTGTTTTATTCTTTTTTTATATTTATTTGTTGGTGAAACTTTTAGTACAATCCCGCCATTCGTCTCAAGCCAGGCGAATCGAGTGACAGTGGATTTTGTTCATCGCCAGCTTTGACATCGCAGGTCTTTATTTTATGTTGTTTATTTAATTATTATTTTAAGATGCATGATCAGTTTTAATTTGGTTCTGTAATAAGATTGAAGAAATCTGCACTTTTTGTCGCTGTCTTAAAACTCATGAATCATTTTTCTTCTCCCAACTTTTTGAATGAATCTTTTAGGTCTCGACAGTAACGAATCAATCGCACGCTGTGTCAACATGGCCACCGCCCGGAGCTCAAGAAGCTGTCTCAAATGCCGACCGTCCACATACAATCTCAACCGCCTACGAACGAGGCCACCAAAGACCTGCGTTAACTGTGTACACTTTCCAGAATCCCGGCGACAACATCACTGAAAGCACATCGCAAAAGTCACCAGCTGCTTCCCTTTCATGTCGACCGCCATTGCCAATTGTAAATTTATTTTCTTATTTTCATTTCAAATACTTCGTCGAGCCATCATTGCACACTTTTCATATGCTTTTAGCTGATGCACCATGATGTGCTTATCACAACTTTATGCTGATTTATTTTACTAACAAATTCTTTTCATATCTCCTTTCAGCGTTGTTCGTCTTTAGAACGTCCACTTTCGACAACAACCGCGCCACGAAATGCAAATGTCAATAATGCAAATGCACGCCAATGTCCATCGCCAATACCAGCGCATGTTACAAAAGGTAAGAAATGTAAAAAGAAGAACAAAAAATGGGTGAAAAATTGTGCAATTTCCTGCTGTTTTCATGTCATGTTTGAAATTTACAGCAGCACTTTAGTTGAGTTGCACAAATTTTCTTCTTTTTATTTTCCATTCGATTCGTGCTCGAATTTTGAAAGGAAAATTAACCCAGAAACATCGTACGAAAACATAATTTGGAGTGCGGGGGTGGGAGAGAAATTTTTTTTGTACATTTTTATGTGCTTGTCCTATTTGTATCCGGTGTCATTGAAAATTTATTTTTTTCCTTTGAATTTCATAAATTTCTTATCTACTAACAATAAATATAAATAAGAAAGTTTATGATGTTTTTTTTTTCACCCACGCAAATTACTAATAAAATTTTGGTGCATACTGAAAAATATTTTTCCAGAACATCCAACACTGAATCAGCCCACTTATGTTAATATGACTGAACTCGCTTCGATGGCGGCTTATAAAAATACTAATAGTAGTAATAATAACAATAACATAATCACAACAACTACAACAGCATCAACAACACAATCCTTTGCTCAGTCTAACTCGCCGGCTCTCTCGTCAACATCATCTCTTGTATCGCCCGATTCATCGGCAACAAACCCAATTAGTTCCCCGGAAGGCTCTCAAACACCACAAAACACGCCATTAACTAATTCACCTTTAATGATTCAAAGTGTCGATGCTCCGACGACAAATGTTGACGATTCAAATCATGATGATCTTTCCACACCAACTAACCAAGCACCTGTCGTTAATGTAAATGACAATAATTCCAAATTCACATGTGAAACATTACAAACTCGTGACTCACCACCAATTGATGTTAAAAGCTTGGGATCGGTGTTAGATAAGGCATCAATGTTTGAAAAGAAGCTTGAGGAACAGCACCCTCAAACGAGTGCACCGACACATCATCCAATAACATTACCAATTAATAACACACTGAACTTAACTCCCGCTACAGTGGCACGTCTTGAGTCTATTTATGGCAAGAAGACGGAAGAGATTTATAACAAAACTGCTGGTTTGTTGTTGGACAGGGACAGGGTTGATGCAGGTTAGTAATTTAAATTATCTTGATCTGTATAAACACTTAAATGGACGATAGCTTTTGGTATGCATGTTACGCTTAATGGTACGGGATAAAGCGATATTTAAGTAGTTTTTAAGCTTTTAATTATTTATTCTTATTAATGTTCATAAGTAAGTATTCATGGGACTGAATTAACTTCTTGAAACTCTCAAGTATTGAAGACAAGATCAAAACAACAAAACTAAATGAAAGAGTTATTCAATATTGAAATTGCTTTCGGCTGTTCTCTCGTCGTGTGTTTAAATATAAACTCGCAAAAAAATCAATGACTGGAACTGGGTCGTTCTTCGGTTTATTATCCGAAAAGCAAAGCACGAAATTATGCAAAAAATATAAAATGAAATGAAACCTTTGAGCTGAGAATTTATTTCCGTTGTTGGGGGAGTCGTGGAAATAGGTAACTGGGGAAAATAAATTACAAGTCGTTTAGTTGATTGTTTTTGTTTGTTATTGTCAGCTGATGGAATGGCTAACATGATTTCTTGACGCTTCTAACAAAACGGGTTTAAGTTTCTTTATTTATTAGCTGTGGTTATATTTTTACTGAATGAAACATAAATCCTTGCCACGTAAATATTATCAAGAATCTTAAATTACTTTGACTTATGAAAGCTTACACGCTTAATTGGCTGTTTCACGAGCAACTACGTTTATTTTATGCTTCAGCTTATTTCAATAATTTATCATTCATTCGATTTTCTTTTTCAATTATTTTCTGGAAATTCTCAATTTTCTCGATAAATTCTTCTTTTAAATTATTTATTTATCATCATTTTGCAAGTTGCAAATGCTTTTAAGACTTTTTTGCTATTAAATAAAATATTCTTCTGAAAACATTTGAGACTGTACGACTTGACATTGATGTTAACATCGTAAATTAAATTTTTTGTTGAATGATAACACTGATAAAAATAAGTACACAAAACAAAGAAAAGAGAACGAACTTGGAAATTCCATTAAACGCCATGTTGAAGCAAAGCTCTAAATTATTTCTCCTAAAATAATCCTTATAATAGAAATGATATCTTTGCCAAATATACATTTCCTTCACATCTCTTGATTTCACATAAATTCAATTCCCACACACAAATCAATGGAGGAAGAAGGAAAAGACAAATGAGGGGCGGAAAAAGAGAAGGAAAGACTCATGAGTTTGATATAATGAGGGAAAAATAGCTTATCGTCTTCCTTTTCCTTGAAAAACTGTTCCACTTATGAAAATAAAAGGAAGAAATTCTTCACTAATACCACCATTAACCAATTCAAGGTGAATCCGGGTCGTTTGGTCGATGAGAGCAAGATCAAAGTTTCTGAATTATTTTCAAAACAAAATAAAAACTTTTTTCATAGATTTTTCTTTTGCTTTTCGGATGATTAATTAATTAAATATTTTTCCACGAGCTCACGAGAGTTTTTGTTACGAGAGAAAATCTTTAAGAAAAGCCGCTTAACTTTCAATTGTGTAGATGTTAATAAAACCTTTAATTTTCATCGTAAATGAACAAAGTGAAAATAAGGGAACGTTTGAATGTTGCGTCACTTTCATGTTCCACTTTAAACTGTTTTGAATTTATCAAAAGAAAAATTGCGACGCAAAATTCAAACGTTTGTTGTTGTAATTTCTTTTCCTGCTGATGAAATTGAAAAATTGCTGGAGTAGATAAATATTTGTTAGATTGTTGTTGTTCAAGTGTCATTTCAACTTAGCTTTTCTTTTATGTTGTTGTGATATGAAAAATGTTTTCACCAAAAATACAGACAAACAACTTCCCAATCATGATCATCATGATTTGATATTTTTCTCATTTCTTTCGCTTTTAATTTTGATATAAATTTTTTATTTTCTTTTACTTTGTTGTTTTATTTTATCATTTGCAATTGTTTTTTTTCTTTTTTTTCTTTTCATATGAAATGTTTTGTTGTCGTTGTTTTGATTATGAAACGCAAATCATAATTAACTTGCTTGATGCCAAATCACCATCAACATCTTTTCCCTCATTCATCATATAAAATCAATAAAATAATGAAAAACTTACACACAATAAAAAACATTCCCAAAAAAATCAAAACCATTTCATCAAACATCAGAAGCGCTTGATCCGATTGACACAGTTGAGCTTGATAATCTCATTGGCGAATTGGATCAATTTCAAAAGGAGCATGAAGCAAAGGAACGTGAAAGACAGTCGAAGCATACGACGAACGGTCATTGCGAACATCAAACACCAATCGCCATTAAATCCTTACAATCACAAACAATTCATAATGACAGCATCATGTCCACATCAACAACAATAACGCACGCTTTTAGTGATCCGGATAAAAATGACAAAGTTTCACTCAGCGCCAGCTTGAATTTTTCAATCACAAGCAACGCAAGCATGACGGCAAACACGACGCTGAGTGACTTACAGAAATTTAATTGTAGCGATAGTGAAAAATATTGGAATGATAACAATAACGATTTGTCAGCAGATACCGGCTTCGAGAATCCATCGTTTGTTCATTTAAACGACACAAATATTGTGGTAATGCGCGACAATGATTTTCCCACCGACTACTATGCTAAGAACTCAGCAGAGATCGTCGTATTGCGATGTAAAGACACGACAAAATTGAATGGAAACGGAAGTAATAACAACAGCATCACTGATTTAAATGCCATTGATTCAATTGCCGCTGATCAGAAGCAAAGATTGAGCTCATTTCGGGCTGAGAACAACAACGTTTCGTATACATCGTCAACAAACAGTTCACCAAACCATTACTTTAACACCAACAACATCAATAACAATTCCATTCCGGGCCTCGTAAAAAGTGTCTCGAATTCATTTGCATCGTTGATGTATGGGCAAGTGGATGAGCCAAGTGTCAATGTTAATAATAACGTAAATGTTGTAAGCAGTAATAAGCCAGCCATAACACCAAGACCTGCATCACTATTGTCTGGTATTGTTGACTCGATTAAACATTTTTCTTTTATTTCTTTTTATTATTTTATGTCTCTTTTTAAGTTTTCATTTTCTATCAATTTATTTTTTTTATTTTTGTGTCGTCACGTATCATTCTGAGTTTTCAAATGAAAAAGATGATAATTCATCATCATGTCAAGAGAAATTTCTTTTAGTTTTGTGATCTTTTGATGATCTCTTAAAGATCATAAGATTTATTGAAGTAAACAGTTTTTACTTTCTTTCTTTAGATTGATAGAGATTGATGACGATTTGATGGTCGCATAAACATAATTTATAATAATATTTAGCCTCAGATAAAGCATGATAGATCTTAATGAAATTTATCCAACTTTAGTCTTTCATGGGTGGCTAAATACTTTAAAAGTGTTTCGAAATCTTAAAGAAAAAGAACCAACAAATTTCTTTCTCATTAAAATTATTTAATTGGATTTTTTTTTTAATTTAATTTACTTCGTAGATGTTTTTCTCTTTCCTTGATTTGCTAATTTAACTTCACCCATGACAGACGAAGAAAATTTTTCATCTTTTAGAATAGTAAAGTTAACCGAAAATATCTGCTGAATGTTCAGTCCACCTACAACTCATGAAGACTTAATGAGTTTTATTTGATTCGTGATACAATCGAAACAAGAGAAAGCTTTTTATTAATCAAATGGAAACCTCAAAACCTCCCACAAAAAGCTTAACTTTCTCATGAATTTAATCTAATTTTTCTTTCTTCTTATTCTTTTTCATTTGCCCACCCACATCACGAAAACAAACATTTTTTTAGGTGTCTCGAGAATTGCAAGACGCTCCTCGGTAAACACGGTAAAGCCGCCACCTCCAGTTCGTCGTAGTTCTAGCGTAACGCCAAGTCATCATGGAGACGCAAATGTAAGTTTTCCATCAACAACAGAAGAATTGTTACGCAACACAAACGACAAAACAGACAAATTCACTGTCGTCTTAATCTAAGTTCAAAAACCATCAATCATTCTCTGTTGTCAGAGTTTGTTTAACGTTTATATTTACATGACAATCCTACCACTATAAGATTTTAGCTCTCAAATTGAGATAAAGCTTTAATTTTTATAAATATTTGTTGACTCTTATTCCAGTCTACATACAAGATTAAATTTTTTTATGTATTTCAATTTCATATTCGGCCTTGAAGTATTTTTTATCTTCTAAATATAACTCTGAGCTTTACAATTCTTTAAAGTTTCTCCTTCGCTTCACCTCAATTTAAAGTCAATTAATTTTTAATGAAGAGAAGAAAAAATCATCACAGCTTTTGATTTCCTTCCATTCCATTTCTTTCTTATTTTTATTAATCTTCGTGTCTCTCTTTCCTTTCCTTTTTAAAATTCCCCCAAATTGAATAAAATCTAATTTGATTTCATTTCAATTGTTTGGGGGGATAAAAAATCATTGATTATTGTTTTTGTAGAACCCACAAAATAATTTAATGCAGCACCAGCAGCTTAATGTGTCCTCTGAAAGCTTACCGCCACCTCCAGCTTATCTTCTTGATCGAAATCATCAACATCATGTGACGACAAATGCTAACTCGCATTACATGACATCATCAACATCAATGGGTCAAATGTCAACGACCAATGGAACTTCTAAGACGCACAACGATATTCGACATAGTCCTGGTGTGATGCGCCGCCAATTATCACTCATCAGCAATCATCACCCATCAAATCATTCACAGAACTCACATGTAATTATTTTTTATTTTATTTTGAGTTTTCTCGCTTTTCTGCTTCCACGCTTTTCCTTTAGACTTTTCTTTTTCCTTTTCTTGAATTCTTTTTTATTTCTATCATAATTCAATCATCAAACAGGAAGAAGAAAAATTTGCTTTTCGCTTCACATTTTTTTATTCTGAAACATTCGAGGATGAAAATATCGTGGAAATTCTTTCTCAACAATTTTTTTAACTTCTTTGCTTTTCCGGCATTTTCTTGTTTGTTTGTCTCTTTTTCTCTTTAGAGCATCACTTACAGCTCTCAACCATCAACACCAAAGCTAGAAAAAGAAGGCAACAGCAGCATGTTTTCTATTTATGGAGCTACGACTGGTAATGGACAAACATACACCAGCGGTGATATTTTTGGAACGGTAAGAAATATTTCATAACTTTCTTCTTATTTTTACTGTCAACAATTGAACTTGATGTCAAATATTTTTGCAGATGCCACGACAAGTTAAATCCCAACAAGGTATTTACGCTCAACCCAAACAAGTGGCATCGGTTTCCAGTTTCAGAACGTCAAGTCCAAGTAATTGTTTCATTCATAAACTTTATTCAAGCTCTATACACGTGATTTATATTCATTCAGATCCACCACCTAAAAGTGCGGGTCTTTTAGCACAGTTAACTGCACGAATTACACCAAATAAATCATCAAATCAACAACAACAACAACAGCAGCAACAGCAACAGTCACAACAAAATGATAACGAGAGATCACGTAATGAACCAATTTATCAACGACGTGGTTCTAATCAATCAAATCCTTATTATGATACGCAAAATATTTATGGTCAACAACAAAAACAACAGCAGCAACAGCAACACCAAAACGACGGTAAAAATCAAATTTATTCTCAATCACCCCATCATCAAGCGTATCAGCAACAACATCACCAATATAATGTTTACAATCAAAATATTTACGTCTCAACGAATCCATTTATATCGCCACCGTCTAACAATTACTCCACGTCTAGTTTTGGCAAGGATGTTACGGCTAATTATTCAAGTAACGTGACTTTACATAGAAGCAATTAAGCTTTTAGAGCTTTGAGTTTTCTTTGAGTTTTGGTATTTTTTTTCTTTTGGCTTTGACGTATCAAAATGTTTTGAGTGTGAACATTAGTGAAACCAATAAGCGTGAGCATTTTTACTGTAAAATGTTAGATCAAAGTTTTAGTTTGATTTGTTTCATGAATGAATTAAATGAAACAATCCACACGTTGTTGAATTTGCATTCCACCACTTTTCATTTTGATTTTATTTAAAATATTTTTTTTGATTAAAAGAGATAAAAATTTTATTTTTTAAGAAAGTTTTTGAAACGAATTTAAAATCACAAAAGTTTGCGAATTGTTCGTGACTTCGTTTCTTTTTTTTTCTTCACTAACTTTGTTAAACGTTTTCAATCACTGCTGCAAAATTATTTTCAATGTTCACTTCAAGTGTTTAGTCTAATAGTTGCTACCATATCTCGTGACTTGTTTAGATTATCAGACCGGAAACTATGGAGATAAAACAGAATCGAGTGTTTTAGCAAAAACATCGCCGGGATTCTTGGATAACTTAAATCAAAAGTTGGCAGAACAACGAGCATCAAATAAAGCATTTCAAGTTAGAAGTTACATAAACAGCAAAGTGGTGGTAAGTTTCATGTCGTTGATTTTCGTATTTATTGATTATAATTTGTACAAACAATCACTTTCGGCCCTTTTACGATAACTAGCGTAATCATTATGGAAGCCAAATTCCTTGTAATATCAAATATGTCCCCAACAGAATGACTCAATCGGAGGTAAGAGGTTTACGGATGTCAAGAGCAAGCAATTAACATATTTGATATTCACACACATTTAAGCTTCATTATTTTGGCTCATGTCTTGAACGATTTCATTTTGGGCTTTAGAACTTAATAATTTTTAATTTAATTTAATGTTTTTTATTTTACCGTAACCGCTTAACTTGAGCAACATAAAAAATAAATTAATCAATGCGTTTAATTTTAATAACATGAAAAACTTAATTTACAAGATTTTAATGAAATTCTTCTTTTTCTTCTCCAATTTTAAGCCCGATCCCCGCATTGTGAGAGAGTCTTTGATGGATCAAATAAAACGAGGCGCCAATCTAAAACAGACACGAGATGATTAAACATGCAGCAACATGAAAAATGAATTTCACTTTGAGATTAATTTTTAATTGACAAGCTTATAATAATTACATAATTAATTCGATTCAAAATTGATATGTTTATTAATGTGTCATCAAATGAGTAGATATTTATGAAAACCGATCTTGTCAGTATTGGAAATTAGAATTGAAAAGGATTTTAAATGATTTCAATTCCAATTTCTTTTAAATAAGAATATGAACCTTTTGTGTTCCGACACATTTGCCGTGTTTTATTGAACTTAGCAAGTGCTCGTAAAATTTCGAAAGGTAAATAAATTGATTGAATTAATCACTCGATATCGTTGCTTTTAAAACGAAAAACGAGTATTCGTCGAGTTCAAAGACGGTTTTCTTTTAAAAATCAACTATAAAACAATTCGAAAGTTAACCAAAATATGAAATCCTTTTAAGAAAGTAATTGGACATGATTTTACTTTCATTCTTTCATAGTGAAAAACCCAACAAAAGTGCTCAAAATCTCGTAAATTTTAACATTTATTTTCGTTTCATGTCACTACAAAATATGTCGCAATATTGAGGCTTTTTTGCTTATCTCATTCACATTTAAATTAATTTAAGTCGATCGAAAACTTCTTCGTATTTCCCCTAATTAGATAAGCGTGACCTGCTTATCACAAACGAATTAATTAATTTTTTTGTTTCTTTTCTCATTGTCTTTTATATGTTACATCTTAAACACTATTAATATGTATCAAATGAATATTTTTTATTCATCTCTTCATCATCTGATAACAAATTTAAGTAATTAATCGTGAGTAATGTATGAGATATTCTAATTATCAAATCAAGTCAAAAAGCGAATGACTTTGCGCTATGAATATCGTTTAATTAATGTGTAAATAAAATTAAGAAATAAAAAAAATTTCATTTCTTTTCGTTTTGATTGGAAAAAATGCCACCCACGCATATTTGATTGAATCTAATCATTTACATTTAGTGCTAACTTTTCATTATTTTTCTTTTTCTGGTTAACTTTATGCAACAATTGTTAGTTGCTAATTAACAGACATCGCAAGATCCCTAAAATCATAACAATAATTAATTTAATAAATACCTAATCAAACCTTTCAGTGTGCAGAATTAAAAGCGTTTCTTTCTCCTCTAGTGCTTAATTATCTAAAATACAAGTCCATTAGAAGAGAATAAGTAAAACACGAAATGAATCTATTTTTGTATTGGAAATAAAGCAAAAAGTTGAGAAAAAGAAACATTCTTGAAAGCGAAAGTCCTTTTTAAAGCTTTCATTAATTGTGCTGATTGAATTTCATCTGCTTCTTAATTAAATTCTGTTGACATTCAATTATTTCTTTATTCCCACACATGCTTAGATATTTATTGAGTTTTCTTTTACGATTAGATCATTGAATGAAATGTTTAATGTCACTTAATTTTCACAATATGAAGATAATCTAATTAGATTCATTTTCTAAAGCTTAGAAACATAAGTGACAATAAACATAATTGAACATATCAAGTTTCTCCCTCAAATCATTTTCCATCACGTTTCATCATCAATATTTAGCTGAATGAATATAATTAAACATCAAAACACGAGGGAGGAAACTTCGCAATCTTGTAACGACTGAGACTATAAAGTTTTATCAATTATAAAGATGAAACTTGCTTCCTAGACATTCACCTCGACATGTTTATTAGATCAGAACCACCACTCTACTTAAAAAAAGTTAAATCACTTTGTAGAAGTTTTTAAATACGCAACTTTTAAAGCGTTTCACTTTAAAGTTTTAACTAGAAAGTGAGTTGAGAAAATTTCCAGTGCACAAGCTTTTTGCAGACATCACGAAAGAAGCTTAAAAAGTTCAATGATTCTTGAAATTTATCCGAAAGAAAGAAAATTAAAGGAAAATCCTTAGAAAATTGTTTGTTTATCTTGCGTTAATTTCCCTTTTGAAATTACGACTGATTCAATTAAAAACTTTCATTTTATAATTTTAAAACTCTTTTTTCTTTTTATATTTTATCTTCTCTCTTAATTTTAAGCATAATTATGATAAATAATTGTATTTAAAGAATATCTATCTGTATGTAGAAAAGAAATTAATGAAATAATTTTGAAGAATTAAAGAAAAAATCGCAGAAAATTAAAATTTATGTTGTTGTGACTTCAGAATTTTCTTCTTTTTCAGGAGTTTCTTTTTTCTCATCATCTTTTTCTTCACTGTCAACAAGATCAGCAAGAACGCCAAGGTTAACATTCCCTTCAGTCGCGTCTTCATCTCCCATAATGATTTCTTCAGGTTCAGGAGCTTTCGGTAGAAATTCATCATCAGGATACATTTTTTCATAAAGTTCCTTCGATTGCCTAATTGATTCGTCATAGTCGAGTTCCATGAACGCTCCACAGCATTTGTAGATTGGACCGTTTTGTGTCTCTGTTGTATACGACTTTTTCACACTTGAAGGAACTTCAAAATAAGATGAGAAAATTATTGTAGGCTTGGTGTCGTCGTCTTCATTTTCCGATGGATAATCTTCTCTGAAGAATGTTTCAACAAATGGCTTGAAATCATTTTTAGCTCCATTGCGATATGTCATAGACAGATGAATCACAAATAATTCTTTTGGAGCACATCCACTGAAGTGTGAGAGTTGAATTAAAGTTACACCATCCGATTGTCCTTCAATTGGATGATATAAAAGAACAACTCCACCTCCATCGATTTCACTATTTACCGCTGATCCACCTATTGGGGTTGTTGTGATAATAACAGCTCGAGATATAAATTCATTTGTCTCTTGTGTCTCCAACACATCACTTGCTAATCCATGAACAAGTTTCTTAGTTGTAATATTTTGATCACCAAATTTCATTATAACAACTTGTTCATCGTTAGATTCGACTGTTTTCACATCGGTTATTGGTCTTCCAAGACAATAAACCCCACCAAAGACAGCACAAAGCCGACAGAAACATTGCGGAATTTCACCGCAACCATACATTGGAAAAAGAAATGGAGTGTTGCCATATCGGCCAATACTTGAAAGATATGTTCGAATACGTTGAATTCCTTCTTTGAAAGTTGTTGTTTCATTTCCCATGCACATCGAGTGAAGAATGTAATGAATGAGATTTTCAGTGAGCCTTTGTTGTTCCATTAAATCAATGAACTTTCCATTTTCAGGGAATTCTTGAAATTCATTTTTCTCTTCGCTATTGTTCACCTTGTCATATTCAACACATTGATTCATGAATTTCATCAACAATCGCTTTTCGATTATAGAGACGTTCTTCTTAGTAAAAATATCAGCTCGTGATCCAGGAACGATGTCCATTTGACCATTAAGAACTGTTAAAACTTTATCTACAGCTCGAAATTCTGTATAGCGACAGATGTTCGATGATATCAAAAGATCAACTAATTTACCGTTGCAAAAATTCATCTGAAAAGAAACATTTCACTTATCGATTTTTTTTAAAATATTCGCATTTTACCTTTGGAATTAAATCAATGTTAAATCTTCTGCTTTCTTTCAATATCTTATCTTTGTTCCATCCATTAATATCAGGACAATCTTCTGTGAACTCTAACCATCGACTCTCGCAATTTCTTAATCGACATTTTTTTATTTGAGTGTCTTTACTTTTTTCAAGATGACTCACGAAAGTATCAAAATTAAAGGAAGCCCAAAATCCTCCATAATAATCATTCTCATCTACATGTAAAACAGTTTTTCCAACTCTCGATGCTGCAGCAGCAATAATTGATTCACTGAATCCTGTTCCAACTACTACCAAATCAAATTCACTTGGAAAATCGTCCATGACAGTACTTCAATGACTTTCGATGTATTTTTGTTGTTTTCACAATCATCAGCTGTTCGTAAACTCAGAGCTTAAATGGTATAAATGCGGTGTGTAAAATTGGACTTATCACAATTTCATTCCCAGTTTTTTATAAACAAAAATCCACATTTTCTCAGAGAAAATTTTTCATCTCGCGATTTTCTTTTGACTTTCCGGTTTAGTTTGATTTCAACTTTTCGCGTGTCCACGTGAAAGATCGAACTCCTTATAAATTATAAAATAATTATTTTACCGGTGTATGTTGAAGATTTTCCAAAGGACTTTAACAAATTTAACAATTGCAAAAAGAATGAAGTTTATCGGTGAGTTGTAATTGTTTCTCCAGCCTGTTGACTAATATCATTCGTGGAATCGATGTTTGAAATTTATCACGGAGAATCTATTAATAGATTTTAGTACCTTACACCTATGTAATAACGAAACGTGAAAATATTCACTTTCGAGCCGACTTTCGACAACATAAGAAAAACCTTCAAAATACAATTTAAATTTAGACTTTAATTACACATAGGAAAATGCACTTTAAGAATGCTGTAAATAGACACATCATCTTCTGTTTATGCGCTTTTGTTCTATTATGTATGTTGAGAAGGTAGATTTGAATTATTTTCCTAAAAAAAAGAAGATTTCAGTGTTCAATCGACATAATGATGAAAATAATTACTTCCATCTGATAGCTATATTCACCTTCTACATCACAACGAATTCATCTCGTGATGTAAAGATTTGTTTAAATAAAAAAATAGAGAAACGACTTGTTATCCATTATAAAAATAAACTTTTCAGCATCCGAATCTTCCACAATATTTCTTGTTTTCTCACATTTTTATTTCATTCGATTCTTATTCAATGTGATGATTTCTGTGAAAGAAAGCGCGGTGAGTGTTTTCAACCCACACATGCTTTAATAATGTTGATGACTGGGTTGGGTGTTTAAATTAAGTGGAAAAGTCGCAAAATGCTCAATACAAATTGATACGAGGAAATTCGTAATTATTGTATTCAAATCACTGCTTAAAAGTGTCATCACAATAAGGAAGATCATTCGGAAATAATTCATAAAAACTTCCTAATTTTCTCACAATCATGAAAGCAATGAAATCTGGTTCAAAGATTGAATCATCGTTCAAAATTGTTATTACAAGCTTTTACGGTTTATTTTCTCGAAAGGAAAATATTAGAAAGAAATGAAGCGAAAAACATTTTCGACTAATGATAAATCAAGATAAATTTTAGTTTGTATCGTTGAAAAAGATGTGAAAAATTAATAATAACAAATTTTCTCAGGGTTTCCCTCAATTTAAATGTGTTTTTGACGCAATGTCGGCAACCCTCATGGACAAAATTTCTCTCATTTAAAACGACCTTAAAATAGATTTTCACCTGATTGTTTCACTTCTCTTGCCAATAACAACAAACGATTTTTTTTCATGCAGATATCGGAGCCAATTTGACTGACGAAGTCTTTGACGGCGTCTACTCGGGTTCAAAAAAACATGATCCTGATAGAAAGCAAGTACTTGAACGAGCATGGCAAGTTGGTGTTGAGAAGATCATCATAACTGTTGGAACAATTTTTGATTGCGAACCAGCTTTCAAAATTGCAGCTGAGGATGGTAAAATTGAGTAAATTTCTGATTCTTTTAGATGAATAAACAAAATTTCCTTTTTATAGAACGCATTTATTGCACTGTTGGTACACATCCAACACGTTGTGGTGAATTCTTAGTAAGTGAGACCGACGATTATTTCAATCGTTTAACACAGCAAATCGAAGACCACAAAGATAAAGTTGTTGCAATCGGTGAAATCGGACTTGACTATGACCGCTTACATTTCTGTGAACCTGATGTGCAAAAAAAGTACTTTGAGAAGCAACTTGAACTCGCTGACAAATATGAACTTCCATTGTTCCTTCATTGTCGTGCTGCACATGACGATCTGATTAAAATCATTCAAGATAACAAGAAAAAGATCAGACGCGGTGGTGTCGTTCACACATTCGATGGAACATTAGAACAAGCTAAGAAGTTAATCGCATTAGGATTCCACATTGGAATTAATGGATGTTCATTGAAGAATGAGGCGAATCTTGAGGTAGTGAAAGCTTTGCCGAATGACAAAATCATGCTTGAAACCGACGCACCATGGTGTGAGATTCGCCCAACTCACGCTTCTTTCAAGCATGTTGTAACAAAATTTGAGACTGTCAAGAAGAAGGAAAAGAAAAAATGGCAAAGAGACGTTCTCATCGTTGGACGAAATGAACCAGTGACTATTGTGTAAGTTTTAATTTAATATAAAAAGAAGTTTTCATTTTATTGTTAATTTTTTGTTTTTTTATAGACAAGTTCTTGAAGTAGTTAGTGCAGTGAAGGGAGAAGATCCAGCCAAGCTTAGCGAGATTTTCTACAACAACACGATGAAAGTATTCTTCCCGAACTAAGAATCTCCACGATATTTATTTAATTACCTACTTATGTCAACAAACAACTAAATTTTCTTCTTCAATTTTACTAATTTAGATATCAAATGTGACATTTTTTAACACGTTTTGTTGAGGTTTTTTTTATTGTTAATTGTTTTAAATGAAATTTTTTGATGAATTAGCATTGACTGGAGCGAGAAAAATTCTTCCAGAGTTTAATAAAAAATTTGTTGTTGGTCTTGTTCTTATAAGATTCTGTAGAGAATCTGCACAGAATCTTGTATAAGATCGTGACAATCAACATCAGAAAAAAAGCACAAAAAAGTTATTGAAATTAGAATTGTTTGCAGTGAATGGAAAAGTTTTTCGTGTGTGATTGTTGCAAGTTTTGAATTTTCTCCATAACGTTTTAATATTATGAACTCTTTACAAACTAGGTCTTAAATGGACAATTTGTGATTTTATTCTATAAGAAAGAATTCAAAGCGCAACTTTCAGTATAAATAGGATTTTATTTTTCTCCAAAACTGTGTGAAATCAAATAATGATCTGCGCGGACATTGCGAAACTCTGCACATATCATTTCTTTGTCTGACATATCTGTATAAAGTGTTGCAGGCAACAAAGAGTAAATTAAAAGAAAGTTCTTGCTTAAGTGAATTATTTATGATCTTAACTGTCCCATTTACGGAACTCGCAACCATCTGGTGGTTTGACATCAACAGTATCTTTTTTAACATCCTCCCAATTTGTGCTTAGAACTGTTCCTCCTGATTCCATGAAAGATTTGTTCATAGCTCGACGTTGTTCTTCTGTTCCACTTTCATAAATCTTTTTAAACAAAGCGTTTACCGCAGCATCTCCCTAGAAACAAAAGTAAAGGATAAGTTGACATTAAAATTAAGAAAAAGAAAGAAAGTGATGTAATTATACTTCTTCTTTATCCTCGCTCTTTTCAATTTCTTTAGTTAATTTCTCCCAATCATTCGGTTGCTTTTTTTTAACAACAGGAGCTGAAGGTTGTTCAATTTTTCTCTCGAGTGTTGACCATCTACCAAAATCACGTTTAAACAATGTAATTTCTACTTTGTTTGGTGTTGCTTTATGAGTTGATTTATCAGGATCGATTGGATTGAGAAGCTCTAATTTCAATTCATAATTTTCAGCTGTCAACAAAACCGAATCGTTACTGATTGTACACTGATAACATTTTTCAACTGCATTCTTTAACAACACTGTGATGACAATCTTTTCATCTGTTTGATACCAATCATGGCGAACAGACATTGTTTCTTTATTAATTTTTATTCAAAATCGTCTTTATTTACTTTTTTCCTCCCGATTTGAATATTCTAGAAGTTCAGGTGTCTTCACTTCAATTTCAAAAATAAATCTTAACGGTTCTTGTGTAATGAATTATCATGTCTGAAATCTATGAAATGAAGACGATTAAGAATTTATTTATGTTAAAAAAAATGCTAATGTTGTTCATTATGTCACATTTATATTTATTATATTTCTCTTCAGATCTTTGTATCTGCTTAAATCTACGCAATCTCAGTCATTTTTAAAGATATCAAAATAATTAATTTAGACAAAGACAAACATATTTTAGTTTTAAAAGTCATCATCGAAAAACTCGTTTGAAGGCGATACAATACGATCTCTTACTAAATCAGGACAACGAATATCTGGCGGAGCGAAATCGTGAAAAGCATTGTGAAATTCATCCCAATCAATAACATCTGAATTATCTCTGAAGATCCCAATACTTGGAGCATGTTCAATGTGACGTAAATTTTCAACTGCTATCATATAAAGTCGTTCAATATCTTTTTTTGTGTTCATATTCTTCTCATTTCTATCCCGTTTTATATGAAGTTTGTAGTTGGGTTTGAAATGCTCAAAGTATTCGTTGTGTGGCATATCATCAGGAATGTCAACATTTAAAGCTATTGATGTTTCATAAGTCCAACATCTGGATACATTCTTAACAGTATATCCACCTCCACCCAGTAACATTAATGGAATATTAAAACTACGCATAAATTCTACGCAACGTCCATGTCCTTTCAGTGTTAAATTGAAACGTCCTAAGCGATCGCCAGCTAACGAATCTGCACCACATTGAAGAACTACAGCTGATGGGCGATAAACTTCCATGACTTTTGTCATGACAGGAACAAAAATTCTTTCATAAGTTTCATCATCAATTCCACTTTTTAATGGAACATTCAGCGAATAAAATTCTCCATCTTTTGCACCATAATCTTTGACACTTCCGGTTCCTGGAAAGAAGCGTTTTCCATAAAGATGAAAGCTTACAGTCATGACACGATTCGTTGTGTAAAAAGCTTCTTCAACTCCATCGCCATGATGAACATCGATATCAACATACAAGACTCGTGTGTGTTGTCTGAGTAATTCTAGAATTGCTATGACTATGTCGTTAACATAGCAAAAGCCTGAAGCTTCAGATTTTTTCGCATGGTGCATTCCTCCAGCCCAGTTTATGGCAATGTCGGAAGACCTTCTATTTAATGAAGTGGCAGCGGCTATTGATCCACCAGTTGACATCTTAACAAATTCAAACATATTGTCAAAAATAGGACAATCTTTACATCTTCCAATGTTGAATTGATTCAATAAAGCTGTCATATCTTCAGTAATATTGTCGGGAGTCACTTTTTGAAGCAAATCGATGTACTCATTTTTGTGAAAACTCTTCATGTGAGCTGGATGAGCATTAAATGGTTTATAAACACTCATTCTTTTATATAAACCATATTCTACTATCAAATTATTTGTAACTGCTAAACGATGAGGCTTCATCGGATGATTGGCGCCGAAATGAGAATGTGCAATGTCAGCTGAAAGTTAAGGTATACATTTTTTACCTTATTCTCCTGATTCTCGAATTTTAATTCATACCATTATAAAAATAAGAAACTTTCTTTCTACTGTGTTCTTGATTTGCCATTTTATTTAATTTGTTGAAATAAAGCAGCACTTCACATAAAATATTTGTTATTTGTGTCCCTGTAGAACATTTGTAGAAAATGTCACGACGTTTCCAATCTTCGAAATTTATTTTGAAGTTTTTCTGTGACTGTTAAGTTAAGCATTTTATAAATTTTGTAGTGATTAGAATTTAGTTTGAGCAAGTTTAAGAAAAGCAACAATTTTAAACACTTACAATTTTTATTTGTATGAAAATTTTAATGACATAAGTAAGTAGAAGTTACAGCCTTTTTAAATTTATTTGTTATAAGAAAATGATTCTTTGTACTGAGAATAAGGCGAATGTTTTAAACTAAGCAAGGATATTTCTTGTTACATTTTTCATAAATTTGATTTTAAATTACAGAACAATCAATAGATTCTTCTTTTTCATTGCAAGTTGTTGATTTACTTGAATTTTTCATCAAAGGTTTCATTAAATCCGAAACGAGATCATCAAATAAAACAGGCGAGAGATTCATGTGTAAGAGATGAAGAATAAACCAGTCTCCATAATCGCGGTAATGACGTGAAAAAACAACTGTTTGGTGTGAAAATGAACGATCGACCATACCGCGAATGCTTCTGGTTCGAAGGCATTTGAAGAACATCAAAATGCTAGTAAACATCAATCCGCAAAGTGTAGCAAAAAATGCAAAAGCAAACCAGATGTACAAGAAGACAAATATTTTTTCATTGATAACATTTTGTGGTAAGAAGCACAAGGCGTCACGTTCTTGGGCTCCACCACTTGGTCCAAAGTCATAGTAGAAACATTTTGCTTGAGTAGGGAAAATCTTTGAAGAATATCGTGAGAAATATGTGAAATTTTGATGAATTAAAGCATAAATTGCTGGCTTATACTCTAACCAAAAGCCATTGAAGACCCAGTGCATCATCAGCATACTGAAAACCTGTTTGAAATAATATTTTAGTTTTCATGAATGCAAATTAATGTTAAGAAAACTTGCCAAAGAAGCCCCAGCAAGTGTTTGACACATAAAATATTTAAGGAAATAGCGGCGACGTGTTTTAATCTTTGTTTCACTCAGGAAGCGAATAATATAAATCTTGCGTTCTTTCCAATCTTCATTAACGATATGCGAAGCTGTGAAGGGAAGAATGTTAATAACCAAAAAACAAAAATATAAATTCTCGTAATACTTACATGTTCTTCTTAAAAGATCATCCATTAAGCCATTTTCAAGATGATGCCAAATGACTCTTGGCATATACATCAACAGAGCGATTAGACCTAATACCGGAACAACCCATTGGTAGTACGACTGATTAATTAAGTTGTTCTCATTCCATTTCTTCGATGGACCCACTCCATAACGTGTAATATCTTTTCCTTTTGTGCCATCAAATAATGATCCATCAAGATAAACACCTTCAATCCAACATTTCGTTTCAATAGTGCTTTTCAAATTGCCATTCACTTGACAATCAATTGGACCACTGAAAAAGAGGTTAGGTTTTAATTAACGCTATCAGTTGACGGATTTTACTTCATTTCTTCGTTCTTTCTTCATTTAACTTTGCTAATAAACTATTTTCTTACCCAAAAAGACTGTTTGCTGATATCAAAAGTACTGAACAAAGTAGAATGTTAACAGTAAAGCATGTTAATAATTTAAAGATAAATCCTGATGTTTTGATTACTTTTTGATCAGAATTAGAAACCAGTTGTTGAATAATATCTTTGATCATAATTAAATTTTCTCGGAAGAAAATATAATTTTAATTTCAAGTTTCTTTTTTAATTCAAATGTTCATAAGCTTGTGAAGATTCTACGAATTAACAGTTATAATTTTGTAGGGTTGTGTTGAAAACATTTAAGAAATCCACAAGGAGTTGACTGCCCCTTATTAAATCAGCAATTTTCAAATGATAAAATTCCTGTTAAATATTCTGAATCAATAAAAATTGTATCCTCGTATTAATAACGTTGGGCTTGTATTGTTGAATTTGTCCACGTATGCATCGCATCGGATCCTGAAGTATTACCTCAAGAATTGTTAATATTTTCTCATTTTCGCATTGGAATTTTACTACGCAAGAATTTTACTACATATCATGTTCAGTGTCTGCTAGCAAATTTCCTTTAAATTTTAAATAAAAAATTCCTTATTTTCTTATCCCCACAGATATTTTGCTCCAAAGTAAACATTTATTTCTAAATTTGTATCATAAAATTTATGCAGTTAAAATTAATCAAATAATTAATGCACGTAGAAAAATTTTATATTTAGTGCCTCGCTCTGTTTTGTACATTCATTGAAAAGAGATGTACAAATTAAATCAAAGAAATAAATTGGAGTAAAAGGAAATAAAAAAATTAAGTCTTATCTAAATGTAAATGGTATTCAAACGCTGCATCAGTTCGTGACAATATTTATAACAAACATCAGGTGGAAGTTTCTCGCATAATTCCGAAGGTGAAGAGAATTGGAATTTCCTTTAAAAAAGAAAATAAATTAGTATAAAATATTCACTATACAATGATGTCATATTTACGTTAAAATAACATCGACACATTTTTCAAACAGATCTTTGACACAGCTTAGTCTGCTTGCGATTATTAAATTGTCCAAAACGTTGTCGATCGAAAGATTTGAAATGAGTGAATTCTTGCACATCATTTTTAAGTTGTCAAGATGATATTTTTCAGCTTCGTATATCAGTTTTGGAGCCATTGCATCAATGTTTTCGACAGTTTCACAGTAAATATATCTCAAAAGTTCTTTCATGGTGACAGAATCGACATCATGTAAAGTCACACAGTTTTCAGCAGCTTCCTCCATGTCATTTGTCATCATTGCCATAAAAACGGGAGATTTCGCAGCTAAAATCACTCGATGAACGTATAAAGATTCTTCATCGTTGCATTTAATCTCGAAGTCAGTAAAAAGTTTGCTTTCAAACATTTTTTCGTAGCAATTATTTATATCATTTGACTCTATGTCTTGTTCAATGTTTCCTCCATTCTCAAGTCTCTTTCCATGTTCTAACTGTTTTTTGCAGACCAATGAAATCTGTTGGAAAAATAATTTAATGAAACGAAAAACTCTTAACAATTTTTAATAAGATTCTACCTCACAAACGATGGCGAGTTTTGCGTTAATTTCCTTTTCATAATCAAATGNTCACTAAGAATGAAGACGATTTGAATCAGGAAATTACTTGTACTTGTAATTGTTGGTAGTAGATTCTACGAATTAGCTGTCAAATCTTTAAACTTTTGTAGGGTTGTGTTACAAATTGTATTTAAGAAGTAGACAAACAGTTGACTGCCCCTCATAAAATGAGCAATTTTAAATGATGAAATTTCTGTTAAATATCTGAATAAAAAAAAATGTATCCTCGTATTGATGACGTTGGGCTTGCTTTGATGAAAATGTCCAATCATACATCGGATCATACATATTTTCTCATTATTTCGCATTGGAGGAGTTTCAAAGCTATCATCGTGCTTGAAGATTCTGCGTTGCGGCCCAAACGAAGAATTTTACTTTCATGGTTAGTGTCTGCTAGCAGATATAATAACCCAATGATGAATCAAATTTCCTTTAAATTTTAAACAAAAAGTTCCTAATTTTTTTATGCCCACAGATTATATTTTCCTCCAAAGTAAACATTTATATCTAAATTTGTATCACAAAATTTATGTATGCCGTTAAAATTAATCAAATCATTAATTTTTTTGTTAGAGCCTCGCTCTGTTTTGTGCATTCATTGAAAAGAGACATACAAATTAAATCAAAGAAATAAATTGAAGTAAAAGGAAATCAAAAAAACTAAGTCTTATCTAAATGTGAATGGTATTCAAACGCTGCATCAGTTCGTGACAATATTTATAACAAACATCAGGTGGAAGTTTCTTGAATAGTTTCCAAGGTGCAGAGAATTGGAAATTCCTTTAAAAAAAGACAAACATAATTGTTGATAAAGAATTTTCACTTTGCAAAGGCATATTTACGTTAAAATAACATCAACACATTTTTCAAACAGATCTTTGACACAGCTTAGTCTGCTTGCGATTATTAAATTGTCCAAAACGTTGTCGATCGAAAGATTTGAAATGAGTGAATTCTTGCACATCATTTTTAAGTTGTCAAGATGATATTTTTCAGCTTCGTAGATCAATTTTGGAGCCAATGCATCAATGCTTTCGACAGTTTCACAGTAAATATATCTCAAAAGTTCTTTCATGGTGACAGAATCGACATCATGTAAAGTCACACAGTTTTCAGCAGCTTCCTCCATATCATTTGTCATCATTCCCATAAAAACGGGAGATTTTGCAGCTAGTATCACTCGATGGGCGTATAAAGATTCTTCATCGTTGCATTTAATCTCGAAATCAGTAAAAAGTTTGTTTTCAAACATCTTTTCGTAGCAATTATTTATATCATTTGACTCCATGTCTTGTTCAATGTTTGCTCCAGTCTCAAGTTTCTTTCCATGTTCTAACTGTTTTTCGCAGACCAACGAAATCTGTTGGAAAAAATAATTTAATGAAACGAAAAACTTTTAACAATTTTTAATAAGATTTTACCTCACAAACGATTGCGAGTTTTGCGTTGATTTCTTTTTCATGATCAAGTGGGGAAAAATATTTTTCAAACAAAACTTTGTGTGCGATCAACTTATCGAAACCATATCCTAAATCGTTTTTCATTTCTTCGCTTGTCATTGTAATTAGTGGACCCATTAAATCCTTATCCACTTGGGAACTTGAAATACCCAATTTGTATTTGATGTCAAATGTCATTTCAGATGGTTTAGATAAACACAAAAACAAGCTGACAAAAGACTTTGAGGAGTCATTATTACCATTAAGATACAGAAGCAAATACCTTCGAAAAATTATGAAATTATTCAATCATTCTATGACATATTCGTACAAAACCATATTTTTTTTACCAAAATGTCGTTTTTCCATTTATATCTATTTTAAATTCAGGTGATTTGATTACTTTTCCTACTTCATATTTATCAATTAAGTGTTTTGTAACCTGTGGAATACTCCAATTGATACGTTTAGAGACAACTATTTCCTATAAGTTTGCTTTAATAGAGAAAACATGTTTGCAAATAACTAAATTCTATTATAACCTGATATGCCATGATGTTCCTGTGAGATTTATTTTAAAGAAGCTTCTTAAATAGATCAACTTAGTTCTGCAATGGATTTTCACAGACAACAAATATTTACAACCTTAGAAAATGTTTTCACTAAGAATGAAGGCGATTTGAATTAGGAAATTACCTACTTGTTATTTGGAATTGTTGGTAGAAGATTCTACGAATTAGCTGTCAAATCTTTAAACTTTTGTAGGGTTGTGTTACAAATTGTATTTAAGAAGTAGACAAACAGTTGACTGCCCCTCATAAAATGAGCAATTTTAAATGATGAAATTTCTGTTAAATATCTGAATAAAAAAAAATGTATCCTCGTATTGATGACGTTGGGCTTGCTTTGATGAAAATGTCCAATCATACATCGGATCATACATCCAATCATACATATTTTCTCATTATTTCGCATTGGAGGAGTTTCAAAGCTATCATCGTGCTTGAAGATTCTGCGTTGCGGCCCAAACGAAGAATTTTACTTTCATGGTTAGTGTCTGCTAGCAGATATAATAACCCAATGATGAATCAAATTTCCTTTAAATTTTAAACAAAAAGTTCCTAATTTTTTTATGCCCACAGATTATATTTTCCTCCAAAGTAAACATTTATATCTAAATTTGTATCACAAAATTTATGTATGCCGTTAAAATTAATCAAATCATTAATTTTTTTGTTAGAGCCTCGCTCTGTTTTGTGCATTCATTGAAAAGAGACATACAAATTAAATCAAAGAAATAAATTGAAGTAAAAGGAAATCAAAAAAACTAAGTCTTATCTAAATGTGAATGGTATTCAAACGCTGCATCAGTTCGTGACAATATTTATAACAAACATCAGGTGGAAGTTTCTTGCATAATTTCGAAGGTGAAGAGAATTGGAATTTCCTTTAAAAAAAGGCAAACATAATAATTAATAAAGGATATTCACTATGCAATCATATTTACGTTAAAATAACATCAACACATTTTTCAAACAGATCTTTGACACAGCTTAGTCTGCTTGCGATTATTAAATTGTCCAGAACGTTGTCAGCCGAAAGGTTTGAAATGAGTGAATTCTTGCACATCATTTTTAAGTTGTCAAGATGATATTTCTCAGCTTCGTAGATCAGTTTTGGAGCCAATGCATCAATGTTTTCGACAGTTTCACAGTAAATATATCTCAAAAGTTCTTTCATGGTGACAGAATCGACATCATGTAAAGTCACACAGTTTTCAGCAGCTTCCTCCATATCATTTGTCATCATTCCCATAAAAACGGGAGATTTTGCAGCTAGTATCACTCGATGGGCGTATAAAGATTCTTCATCGTTGCATTTAATCTCGAAATCAGTAAAAAGTTTGTTTTCAAACATCTTTTCGTAGCAATTATTTATATCATTTGACTCCATGTCTTGTTCAATGTTTGCTCCAGTCTCAAGTTTCTTTCCATGTTCTAACTGTTTTTCGCAGACAAATGAAATCTGTTGGAAAACATTTTTAATGAAACGAAAAACTTTTAACAATTTTTAATGAGATTCTACCTCACAAACGATCGCGAGTTTTGCGTTGATTTTTTTTTCATGATCAAGTAGGGAAAAATATTTTTCAAACAAAACTTCGTGTGAGATCAACTTATCGAGACCATATGCTGAATTGTTTTTCATTTCCAGGCTTGTCATTGTTAATAGTGGACCCATGAAATCCTTTTCCACTTGGGAACTTGAGATACCCAATTTGTATTTAATGTCAAATATCATTTCAGATGGTTTAGATAAACCCAAGAACAAGCTTACGAAAAACTTGGTGCTGTTATCTTCCCCATTAAGGTACAGAAGAAAATACCTTTCGAAAGTTATGAAATTATTTAATTCATTCAAATCAAAAATCAAATTTTTTACCAAAATGTCGATTTTCCATTTATATCAATTTTAAATTCAGGTGATGTAATTGTTCTTCCGACTTTAGCTTTTTCAATTAAGTGTTTTGTAACCTGCGGAAGGCTCCAATTGATACGCTTAAAGACAACTATTTCCTATAAGTTTGCTTTATTAGAGAAAAGATGTTTAAGAATAACTAAATTCTGGTAACCTGATTTGCCATGATGTTCCTGGTAGATTTATTTTAAAGAAGCTTCTTAAATACCTACCTAGATCAACTTAGTTTTGCAATGAATTTTCACACACAACAAATACTTACAACCTTAAAATATGTTTTCACTAAGAATGAAGACGATTTGAATCAGGAAATTACTTGTACTTGTAANTCTAATTTTAAGGTTTTAAAATATCAATCAACTAATCAAGAGTTGATTTATCTTGATAGAAAAAATATTCGACAGAAACTTTCATTACACGAGAATGAAAAGTAAACACTTTAATGTGGTCATACAAAATCGAATTTGGACACATTAGTCGATCGTTTGTGGTCAGTGCTTGAACTCGACAACAACTTTAAAAAAATTGTTTCTAGTGTTGTTTTTATCAAGTCAGAAGGCAACAGAATACAATTAATCTTGTTTTTAATTAAAAGAAAATAAATTTACAAATGCGACTCCATATAAAAATGATATGACCAAATTCGATCACGAAAATGTGTGAGCAAATGTTTTAATAGTTTATTTAATAGAAACTATTATGAAATTCTCTTTCATCAATCCTCTTCTGCACATGATTACCTATCTTTTTGTGCAGGTGGATGAATAAAATAACTTAAATTAATATATTTTTTTGCCTGTTGAAAATTCGAAGCGAGAAGAAAAAATGGCTGATTTCGAAACAGAATTTCTACGATGAAATTAAATAATTTATGTTGGGAAATTAAACTCATTTAAAGGCCAAGTGAGTAACCTAAAATGAAATTTACTCCCAAAACTTTCATCATGTATTTTTTTTATGTTGAAAAAATAAAATTTAAGACCTAAAAATTAATAAATTAGGTGTCCAAATTAGATATTACCCACAAACGATCACTAACCAAATTCGGTAAATTACTCTAATTTCCTTTTCATAATCAAATGGGGAAAAATATTTTTCAAACAAAACTTCGTGTGTGATCAGCTTCACTCCATATCCTGGAGAGTTTTTCATTTCTTCGCTTGTCTTTGTTAATAGTGAACCCATGAGATCCTTTTCCACTTGGGAACTTGAGATACCCAATTTGAATTTGATGTCAAAAAGCATTTCAGATGGTTTAGACAAACACAAAAACATGCTGAAGAAAGACTTTGAGGAGTCATTTTGACCATTAAGATACAGATGTAAATGCCTTTTAAAAATTATGAAATTATTCATTCATTCTATGTAACCATATTTTTTTACCAAAATGTCGATTTTCCATTTATATCAATGTTAAATTCAGGTGATTTCATTGCTTTTCCTACTACATATTTATCAATTAAGTGTTTTGTAATCTGTGGAAGGCTCCAATTGATACGTTTAAAGACAAATATTTCCTATAAAGTAGCTTTAATACAGAAAAGATGTTTACAAATAACTAAATTCTATTAACCTGATTTGCCATGATGTTCCTGTGAGATTTATTTTATCAAGAAGCTTCTTAAATTTGTAAATAGATCAACTCAATTTTGTAATGGATTTTCAAAGATAACAAATATTTACAACCTCAGAATATGTTTTCACATACGATGAAGGCGATTTGAATCAAGAAATCACTTGTTATTTGCAATTGTTGGTAGAAGATTCTGCGAATTACCTAGGTCAAATCTTTAAACTTTTGTAGGGTTGCAACAAATCATTTAGAAAGGAAACGAACAGTTGACTGCCCCTCACAAAATGAGCAATATTCAAATGATAAAATTTCTGTTAAAATATCTGTATCAAAAAAAATTGTATCCTCGTATTAATAACGTTGGGCTTGCTTTGTTGAAAGTGTCCAAGCATTACCTAAAAAATTGTTAATATTTACTCATTATTTCGCATTGGAGGAGTTGCATTGCTTGAAGATTCTGAATTGTGCCCAAAAGAAGAAATTTACTTTCATGTTCAGTGTATAAAAGCATAGATAACCCAACGATGAATAAAATTTCCTAATTTTCTTATCTCCACAGATATTTTGCTCCAAAGTAAACATTTAGATATTTCTGAATTTGTATCATAAAATTTATGCAGATAATGCAGGTATTATTCAAATCATTAATGCACGTAGACTAATTCTATTGTTAGAGCCTCTGTTTTGTACATTCATTGAAAAGGAATACACAAATTAAATCAAAGAAATAAATTTGGGTAAAAGGAAATAAAAAAAATTAAGTCTTATCTAAATGTAAATGGTGTTCAAACGCTGCATCAGTTCGTGACAATATTTATTGCATACATCAGGTGGAAGTTTCTCCGATAATTCCAATGATGAAGAGAATTGGAATTTCCTTAAAAAAAGAAAATAATTAAATAATTAATAATGAATTTTCACTATGCAATATCAGAATTACGTTAAAATAACATCAACACATTTTTCAAACAGATCTTTGACACAGCTTAGTCTGCTTGCGATTATTAAATTGTCCAAAACGTTGTCGATCGAAAGATTTGAAATGAGTGAATTCTTGCACATCATTTTTAAGTTGTCAAGATGATATTTTTCAGCTTCGTATATCAGTTTTGGAGCCATTGCATCAATGTTTTCGACAGTTTCACAGTAAATATATCTCAAAAGTTCTTTCATGGTGACAGAATCGACATCATGTAAAGTCACACAGTTTTCAGCAGCTTCCTCCATGTCATTTGTCATCATTGCCATAAAAACGGGAGATTTCGCAGCTAAAATCACTCGATGAACGTATAAAGATTCTTCATCGTTGCATTTAATCTCGAAGTCAGTAAAAAGTTTGCTTTCAAACATTTTTTCGTAGCAATTATTTATATCATTTGACTCTATGTCTTGTTCAATGTTTCCTCCATTCTCAAGTCTCTTTCCATGTTCTAACTGTTTTTTGCAGACCAATGAAATCTGTTAAATAATAATTTAATGAAACGAAAAACTCTTAACAATTTTTAATAAGATTTTACCTCACAAACGATGGCGATTCTTGCGTTAATTTCCTTTTCATAATCAAATGGGGAAAAATATTTTTCAAACAAAACTTCATGTGCGATCAACTTATTGAGACCATATCCTGAATTATTTTTCATTTCTTCGCTTGTCAATGTGAATAGTGGACCCATGAAATCCTTATCCACTTGGGAACTTGAAATACCCAATTTGAATTTTATATCAAATATGCTTCCAGTTGGTTTTGATGAATATAAGAACAAGCTGAGGAAAGACTTTGAGGAGTCATTTTGACCATTAAGATGCAGTTTCAAAACCCTTTCAGAAATTATGAAATTATTCAATCATTCTATGACATATTCGTACAAAACCATTTTTTACCAGGATGTCGATTTTCCATTTATATCAATGTTAAATTCAGGTGATTTCATTGCTTTTCCTGCTTCATATTTTTCAATCAAGTATTTTGTAACCTTCGGAAGGCTCCAATTGATACGCTTAAAGACAGAAATTTCCTGTAAGTTTGCTTTATTATTAAAGAAAGCATGTTTAAAAATAACTAGATTCTGTTAACCTGATTTGCCATGATTTTCCTGTGAGATTTTTTTCAAGAAGCTTTTTAAAATTTTTGAATCAACTTAGTTTTGCAAAATATGTTTTCACATACAATGAAGACGATTTGAATCAGAAAATTATACTTGTTATTTGCAATTGTTGGTAGAGGATTCTACGAATTATGTAGGTAGCTTTAAAATCTTTAAACTTTTGTAGGGTTGTGTCAACAAATCATTTAGGAAGGAAACGAACAGTTGACTGCCCCTCTTAAAATGAGCACAATGATAAAATTTCTGTTAAAATATCTTAATCAATATAAATTGTAAATTTTATAAAATAGTTTATTTTATCAACAATTTGAAAAGCAGATGTCGTTAACAAAATTGTAAAACATTAAAAAAATTATAGATGAGCTTGCCATCCACAGAACAATTTCGATAACAATGCTGGATTCATAGCCGTTTGAATGAGACATTCAACTTGACCTTCCACTGACGTATATCTTGAAGATGCATCAGCTTGTCCCTTAAGCTTACTTTGAATCTTTAATAATGCTCGACTAGCCATTGAATGCTTCTTTTCTTGATCAATTTCATCACTCGACTCTTCATCTATCTCATCCCCGTATTGATAACGTTGAGCTTGTCTTGTTGAAAGTGTCCAAGCATACATCGGATCATAAAGAATTACCTCAAGAATTGTTGTTAATATTTTCTCATTATTTCGCATAATTTCCAATGTCTTCTCACAAGTTTTGCGAAAAGTACCTTCAACTCCACAAACACCCATCGGTGCAATAATGTCACGTGTCAAACGGAATGGAATCAACTCAGGATGTGGCAGAATTTTTCCTTGTTCAAAAGCTATTCCAAAATCTATGTGAATAATTTCAGCAGTTTTTTGATCAATGAGAATGTTTTGAACATGACGATCGCCAATGCCTAGAATGTAGCCGACCATTGACGAAACTGCAACGCTGGTGGTATAAGCGAGTCGTCTTTCAAACCATTGACCAGGATTTTTATATTTTTCATAAAAGAAATGATGAAATGCTGGTCGAATTTTTTCACAAATTAATTTAAAAACCTCCTCTTTCTTCTGTGGAGGTTGACGATCAACTTTCTTCAATTCATCTCTGCATCGATCTGGTTCCCAATCTTCAGGATAATATCTCGCATGTGCACCTTTTGTTGACTTGTAACCAGTTAGGAATAATCCAATTGGTTCAGTATCTTTACACCATTCAAGAATTCCTGATTGCTGTGAATAAAAAAACTTTCATAATTAAATATTATTAAGAATGTTAAAAGACTTACACGAGACAATGGCATAACTTTGTAAGTCCTAATACGAGCATGACGCTTCTCCATATCTTTGTTGTATTTTAAAAGTTGATTAACAACACCAAAAACTTGTTGCATGACAGCATCTTGTCTCAAATCATCTTTATTCTTAAGTAGTTGAAGTCGTTTAACTCCATCCGAACACAAGCATGTGAGTTGTTTTGGTGCATTGATGCCACCAGGCATTTTAAATTCTGAATCCCATTTGACAACACTTATTAAGCTTTCTTTATAATTTCCATCTTTCATCACAGGAATATCAACGGTTTGACATTGCAAATGATTTAACTTTTTAAGCTTTAATAAAGGATGATTTGTAGGAAAAGTTCGGCATGAGATGTTAGCAATGTCGATGAGAGCTGATGATGCATTCTCCATTTGAGTCATCGTGTATAACAAAATCTTTCGATGACTTCCAATCTTTAATGAATTCCATAAAGATTTAGCACCAACAACGCGAGGTTCTTCTTGACTTTGTGCCGATGGCGTATCAACATTTGAATTAACAAGTGCCAAGATTAATGGCAAAGTATGATAAGGATGATCATCAGCACATTTCTCAATAATTTTCTTCAATAAGTTGTTGGACTTCTCGTTTTCTTTATCAGTCAGACGAACGACAAGTTGAGGAAGCACTGCAATGAACTTAAAACTTGGTATTCTCAACAAATGTTCATTCAACATCTTCCAGATACGATTATCGTTAAGATTAGCAAACCAAATCGAAATGATACGAAAAATGCTAAGAATGTTGTCGTTTGGATCGCTTATAGCACCACGAAGATAATAGAAAAGTGCATTGCAAGCTGCGTTCCCTTTTTCTCGTTTCAATTCTCCTAATTCTGTCTCATCAATTGCTATGCTTCTTTCGTAAATGATTTTAGAATGTTTAATTGTTTTGTTTTCGCTGTCATGTTTCAACATCTTTACAAATTCTTCTTTCTTCTCGATATTCTTCTTTAATGCTTCGATTTTATTCTGATAATCAGCTGAGTTCATGTACTCGCACTTCTCCATGTACTCGCGATCGTAATACTTTGCCACAGTATCAAATATAGAAATGTTTTCCTTAATTATCTTCTCAACTTTACCATCAACATGATCGTCGCTGTCTTGACTCATTAACGATTGAGAACTTTTTTCTGAAGCTTGATTGGTAGAAATGAATGCAATCAAATGTGACATTTTATGCTTTTCAGCGTAAGCTTCAAGTGTTCTGATTGCTCTCAAAAAGTAGTTCTTAACAATGACGTCAACCTATCGATTGAATAAAACAAGAAGAATTAAATTTAAATACTTTGAAGCTAATGAGAAATTCTAAGCTTACCTTGTCAGCTTGATTATCTGCTAAGATTTCACCAAACATTCGCAACGCTGCACACTTCAACATTGGAAATTTACCAAATTCCTTCTCTTCGATGACACACTTCAGAGAATGTTTGGCCAAGTTCATGTTGCTTTTCAAATTTATCTGAGCTTCTGTTACGAGCATTTCAGCTTTGTTTGCTGTTGTTATGTTGGATAAAGCTCGAAGTTTTGAAATCATTTTAATGGCGTCGTTCTGACAGTCAGCTTCAATAGCTTCCTTGACAATCATCAACATATTTGATTGCAGTGCTTCGGGAATCCACGTTCGCTTTCCTGTCCTGATGTTTGCAGTATCGTAAATGCTATTTCGTTGACATAAAATCGGTTCAAGTCTTTTAAAGTCGTGTGGCAATTGATCTTGTGCTGTCCACTTTCTTACTAACTTTTCATGTGAATCTGGCATTCGTTTGAATCGAACTTCACCGAAATCTTCAATCTGTTGAAGTAAATGCGACATTCCCAGGAATTTATAAAGGTTTTGTGTGCATTCGAGACTTTCTTGTTGAAGTAATTGAAGAATTGATTTCCTTGCTTTGGACACGGCAATTCTCATTCCAAGTTCGTCGTCGTTCTTCAAGCACTTCAATCCTGTGTAATGAAACTTCTCGAAGTCATTAGCAACACTTTTCTGATCTTTCACATCTGAATCACTTTCAACAATGACATCCCAATTGCACAATCGCCATAAGCATTCATATTGCTGCGATTCATTTTGTTTATCCTTTGTCAACAATGACAGTTTGTTAGCTAAGAAGTGCAAGCCAATGTTGTTGAGTAACAAACTGTAATCTTTCGTCTCATCATCTTGAAGTGTTGCATCATGTTCCAAGATATTTGTAAAACTTTCACCACATATTTCATGATAAAGTGAACGTTTAATTGATGGATTGACAAATAAAACCGACGAATCTTTCAGTCCAATAGCAGTGAGTGAGCTATACATGATTTCTTGAAGATATTTATCATTGATTGTCACTGCGAAAGGAATTTTTTCATCTTTCTGTCGTTTCTCAGCCCACATTTCACCATAAAGAACTGCCGTGAAGAAAGCTTCACAATGTTTAGCAGCTTTAGCGATGTTTGAGTAATTCAAGTTGTTTTGCTTTGCCATTTGAGATTTCGGTTTCTTTAAGCAAAACATTCTCACACATTCGACAAGCTTTAACATTTGTTTGATGGCGAGTTTATCAAGATAAATTGACCCTTTGTTGACATGTTCCGAATAACTCAACATTTCTGATGTTTTCGAGAAGAAAAAGTTCATTCCTGAAATGATTTCATGGTTTAACTTCTCTTCATTGTAGCTTAAAAGTAGCTGAAAGACCAACGGACTCATTTGTTCTGCGAAGCTTTTCTGTGCACTCACGACTTGAATGAGAACTTTGTCACCAACAAGTGTCATCATTGACATCACAAGTCGCTTAATCCACGTCATGTAAGATGCATATTCATACTCATTAAAGAGTTCGATGATCTTCAATGAACTGTCAGTCTTTAAGGTTTCGTAGAAGAGATTTTTGGTGCTGATTGTGTTTGTCTCGAATGGACGAAGATAAATACTCGCTTTGTATCCTTCCGCTGATATTGATGACAACATGTGATGACAAGCATTACATGCCGACTCAAATATTCGAGGATTGTGATGTTGAATCATTGTTTCCATTTGATTCAGTGCAATTCTGCAAATGACATTCTGACAATGTAAAGTGTCACCGATTTCATCATAAATTGTCGCATCTTGATGATCTTTTGTGATGAAGACCATCGTAGATAAATCAAAATTTCCAATCTCGCCAAGACATTTGATCGCTTCGATTGATCTGTCTTCGTTCTCAGATGAGCTTCTTGTATATTCAACTAAAGATCGGATGAGTTTGTGAAGTAAATCGCTTTCACCGTCTTCACTGAATCCAAGCGACAATGCTAATTTATTGAAAAGTATTTTTAGTTCACTTTTATTCTCCGCGAGATGTTCTCTAAGTGCAACAAGTCCTTCGAATTTTCGCTTCTCAACTGCCAGAAAATGTTCAATTTCTTGTGACAATGAAAACTTTCCGTCTTTGTACTTCACTCTCAATTGCGTTTCGCAAACGTCTTCGAATTCTTGACCGGCTGGAAATTTATCCAACAAAGCAATTTCATCATCAAGTGATGATTGTTGATCCAATACGAGAAATTGTATAATTCCGAGACATTTCTTCTGCAATGATTTAAGTTTTGATCCTTTTTCGAGCTTACAAATATTCACCAATGACGACACAATTTTATTAAGAAAAGGTTTGACGTCAATTGAGCATTCCGGAAGAATTTCCTTGAGAAAGATTTCTAAGAAGTTTAAAGCAGTTTCTGGCAATCTCAATCCAAATTTATCATCGAGAAGAAGGAAGCATAGAAAGTTTGCGACGTCACGAACGATGAACCCTTTGATACTTTTCTCAACATCAACCGGTCCTTTCAAATACTCGAATAGCTTTTTAACCAGCACGCAATATTGCAACAAGTAAAGCATTTTATGTTCCTTCAAGCTCGTGCTTTGAATTTTCTTCTTTTGCATCATGAGAAGTCTTTCTATAAATTGACAGAAGTTTGGCTGACGACAGAAGAAGGTAAGAATCGACTTCGTTTTTGGAACAGCAAAAAATGTTTTTAAATAATTTAAACATTTGTCAAAGTCATTGCAATCGATTTGTTCTGAACTGAAATGAACTTCCATTTCAAATCCACAAATTTCTTTAAACTTTTCGCAATCGTAGACATTCTCAAGGATATGTGCAATGACCAAAGCAATTTTACGAAGTTTCATAGACTTTTGTGAGTCGCCAGTGAAGAGCGAATCGAGTTTGTCCATCATTTCTTCTGCTTTCTTCAGATATTTAATTCCACTACATCCTGCTTGCACTGGAACTAGAAAAGCGAAGCATTCGGGAAGAATTTGTTCGATTGTTGATTTCGGTGACAAGTCTGAACTTTGACAAAGTCGATCGATAGCTCGCGTTTCATTTTTCATTAGCACCAAAGCGATTAATTCGAAATGTTCTTGAACAAATTCTTCGACTGATTTGCTTCCGGTGAAAAACCATGGAAATCTATTGGGAAATGAATGATCAGAATTTTATAACATTTTTAAACAAATAATTTTACCTTTTAAGGTCATAACTATGCTTCACCCAATCTGATATTAAATTCTCGATGCTGTTCGTGTCCATTAAACTTCCAACATCACATTTTAAGTACGAAAGAATCTTCTTAAAAATATTCAACGAAACTTCATCAGGCACTTCATAGCGAAGAAAAAGTCGTGACAATTCAAGAATAATTGGCTTGCGAATGTTGAAGTTAACACAAAATATTGAAGTGAACAGTTGAACGTAACCAGCAACAATGTTTGTTTGAACATCATCGAAAGTTTCAGCAATTTCCATCGGTTCACGTCCATATTCAATTCTTTGCTTATCGAAAACTTTCTTGAATATTTTCTGCTTACTTCCTCGAGCAATTCTCAACTGATCAAATTCATTGCTGTTCTCAATGTCACTGTAAAGAATGCAACTGATGGTCTTGATTGCTTCCAACTTAACAACGAAAGTTTTTGAATTTAGAAAAATGTTTGTCAAGTGTTTGTAGACTTCAATGACGGGATTTTGATCGATGTAAAGATGAAAATAATTCTGAGAAAGGAAAATTCTTTAGATTTAAGAAAATTTTGATAGAAATAAAAATTACTTCATGAAAATATTTAAATTGTTGAATGAATTTGACAGTAACACGCGAACAAAACATTGGCTCGATGCAAAGAGCTGAAATTGATGAACAAAGAACGACAGCGTTGGAAGACAACTCAGGACAACTCGTAGATAAGCGGAAGATAAATTTCAATCTCCCGATGATGTTTTCCATCACAAACTGATTTCTGTCATGTTCTCTGCAAATCTTAATGATGTAATTCCAAATCCATTCCTTCACTTCTTGTGGAATATTTTTTTGACGTCCGAGAACTTCCAGAACATGAAAAATGATGTGAAGATCCATGTTGTCATCAACGTTGATTTTCACTCTACTCAAGCGTTCGTGAACAATTTCCGAGTTCATTCCATCAAAGTTGTTATATTCGCAAAGCGTTTCAACTGCTAGGAACTTCAATTTTTCCTCCATTTTTGCATTTATGAATTCATTTTTTCCAATCTTCATCTGTTCATAATCATCGTCGTATGTTAGAAATTTGTGTTTGATCTGTTTGCCGATCCAATGAATGCAATGTTCCAAATCAAAAGATCGAATTTTGAAGCAAAGTTTAATGTGAAACTTTGAGCTGAATAAACGTTTCAAAGCTTTCAACAATTCGTGTGTGTCTTTCATCTCCAAGCCTTCATTCATCGTCACAATCATCTCAAAAAGATTTTCGACTTCTTGCAAATGAAATTCAATTTTCTTTGTGAGAAATGAACTTTTGAATTTTTCTTCATTAAATGCTTCAAATTTTAGGAAATTATCAGCAAGATGAAGCAACATTTCGTTGTTTTCAAGCACTGATTGAAGATAATCTTTGACGACTTCAATGTTATCGTCTTTGCCGATGAGTTTGTTTTTAAATTCCGTGACATTCTGAAGCTCCTCATAAAGACTATGATCGATGATGCATTTGATTTCTTTTGGAAATTCGTTCAAATTTCTCTCTTCATTACTTTCATTCTGGAATTCTATAAAATCTTCTTCCTCGATCAACAATTTTTCACTGCACTTCATGAGAATTAATTGAATTTTTTCATTAATTTCCTTCTTGTATTCAACTTGCAAATCCAACTTCCAATTTTCCTGAAAAAGCTTCTCATTGTCTAAAATGTCATTTTGAGAATAATTTACGACATCAGTTTTTGATAGACAACAAATGACGCCAATTTGTGACAATATTTCATTTGTTGGCTTTTCTTTCCCAGATGTTGTGATCACGCGTCGTAAATCGGCTACAGAAGCTTTTTCGAAAGTATAAGAAAGAATCGTCGATGTTAATTCTCTTCCATTCTGCAACGAATCTATGTTGAACGACTTCATGAGAACGATGAGAGTTTTCAATGTTGCATCACTTTTGATTGAAGATTTTGTGATGAAAATCTTTACGACATCTTCGATGAAACTTTGTGACGGAAATTTCTTGTGATGAATTAAAGTTTGTAATAAAATGTGACTCTCAACTGAATTTTTGTTATTTGAAGTACAAACGCGAACTGTTGCCTCGACAATTTTAAACCAAAGTTTGTGACATAAATTAACAACGTGAATGTTTGCAGTTGAAACGAAATTTTCTTCTCTTTGAAGGAGGACATGACAACATTTCGTGAAAGCATAAATGTGAGATTCATGTTCGATGGACTCTTGAACACGTGAGAGCAGTTGAAGTAATAGCTGGAAATGATCATTCTCAAGAGCAGATGGATAATTGTATAAAAGCTCACTTAAGACTGTCAACCATTTCCAGTTAAAATCTTTCAATTCTTCTGTAGGTTGAGCGAAATCTATCAATGCTTGCAACTTTTCTGATCTTTTTTGTCGTTTCGAAAGCTGTTCCTCGTAATCAATTTCATCCCAAATTGAATTATTCCAATAAACTATGTAACATAAACGAGCAGCGAATTGAGCCACAATCTGATTGAGTTCTGGTGCTGCACAGCCGCGATACTTTGTTTTTGGTTGGTTTTTCAATTCCAATTCAACCATGAAGATGAAATTTCTCAAAGTTACTTTCCAGGCACTTTCATTAGCAATAAATTGAAGCTTTTGCTTACAACTCCCAAGATTTGGATAATGAGCAATCAGCGAAAGATCAACCAACTTGAAGAGTGNTCTTCAAGAGAAGTGTCGATTATGCTTCAATCGCTTCCAATCCGAATATGATCAAAAAACAATTACTAAGCAGTATCAAAATATGATAATTGATATTCTACAAGTTGAAGTAAATAATCCAAATTATTATTATTAATAATTCGAGGGTCAATTGATGAATCTTTTCATTCACAGTTAATTCAAACATCAAAAACTTCGAATTCACTTTGTTTAAATTGCATCTTCAATCTTGGAAACTTTCATCGATTCAGAAGTTTGTTTGTTTGTTTGTTTAAGTTTTATTTCTTAATTTGTACATAGTTAAGAGTATAAACTCTTTTTATAATTCTCGGGGGAGAATTTTCTCCTATGCACCACAACTTAATATAGAAAAGTTAATGAAATGAATAAACAAGACTACTGGAAATTTAAATATAATGAATAAGAATTTAAATAAAGAGAAATAGAAAGAAAAATCTAGAAATTAAGAAAAGAGATTATATATCAGAAAAGTCATCAGGTGCATCCAACAACAGCCCACGCGCCCACCTGAAGGAAGAGAAAAATTTCATTATTGCAGAAAGGAAAAAGGTGATAAAGGATAAGCAAAAATTCATATTTAAGTTCAAAAATACAAATATAGTAGAAGGGAAAAGTATGCAGCAATTTATTGTTACGTCGAAGCAAAAAAAGTCAGACACTCACGCTTAAAAGCTGTGACTGATTCCAATGCACGAACATTATTATTTAGTGCATTCCATAGACTGATTCCTATGACGAAAAAGGAACTGTCAAACTGACGTAAGCCTCGGAGTGTAGGTGGATTTAGTAAATTATTTCTTTGATTTCTTGGAAAATTTAATTGTTCAAAGAGGTAGTGAGGTGTTTTGAAGCGAAGCAAATTAAAGATAAAGAAACATGCACGAAATTTGAGAAAGTTTTCAAGAGTGCAACCTAAAATATTTTTCGACACACTTGATATTGAATGATATTTTTTAATATCATACACATATCTTACGCAAGCAGAGAAACAACCGTCAAGACGTTTCCATTCTTCTCTACTACATCCTAAGTACAGATTACTGCAATACAAAAATTTAGGGAGAAGAAGAGCTTGACATAAAAGTAAGCGTGTACTTTTTGGAGTAAAAGATTTTGATTGCCAAAGCTTGGCTAGCCCTGCCTTGACATCATTGCAAATCTTATTTGTGTGATTTTTCCACGAAAGGTTATCACTTAATGTAACGCCCAGACTCTTGATTTCTCTCTCATATTCAATGATGTCACTCCCAATACTGATCGGAACAGTCGGCGTATAATTTGACCTGCTTATTACCATTGCCTTTGACTTACAAGGATTTATAAAAACTTGATTATGTTCTGCCCATGCAGATACTTTCTTTAAAATTTCATTCATTTCATAGATGCAATCAGATGGGTTTGATTCATTAGAAGAACAATAGATTTGTGAGTCGTCAGCATATAAATGTAAATTTATGTCAGGGATATCTGCAATATCATTTATGAATAATGAAAAAAGAAGAGTTGATAAGATTCCACCTTGCGGGGTGCCTGACGTTACAGGTATAAGACATGTAGAAACGTCACCGATACGCACTCTTTGATAACGATTTGTAAGGTAAGATTTTATTAAGAAACAACTACGTGATGACAAATTAAATTGAACTTTCAGTTTATTTAAAAGAATATCGTGATTGACCAGATCGAAAGCCTTTTTGAAGTCAAGAAAAACTATCACTGAAATCATTTTATTTTGCATTGCACATGACAAGTCGTGAACAACTTTCAGCATCGCAGTTTGTGTGCTGTGTTTTTTCCTGAAGCCTGACTGAAAAGGGCAAAGGAGATTACAATCATTCAGGAAAAATTCTAATTGATCTTTCATGATCCTTTCCAAAATTTTCGACAAGCACGATAGAATACTAATCGGTCTAAAATTCTCAACTGAGACCGGATTTTTTGTTTTTGGAAGTGGAATTACGTTTGCAATTTTCCAATTATCAGGGAAGAAACTTTTCGTAATACAATTATTAATAATATGCGTTAAGAATGGAATTATGAAAGGACAGAGAAGTTTAAGAAAATTTGCTGGAATTCCATCATCACCGATAGCATTCGTTTTAATGCTCATGATTGCTGCATCAACTTCTTCATTGGTTACACATGAAAATTCAAAAACACTTCCAATTTCATTAGAATCATTTTCAAAAACTGCTAAAGAAGTTAATGAATTTGAGCTGAAAGCTGAACCAAAAAAATTATTAAAATGCAGGCCGCCTTATAGTAATATTGTTAGTACTCCATTCAAAAATTAACCTAATAATTTAATATTTTTCCAGATTACTTTTGGTGGCAAATTTGGATCAAGAAGAGAACGAGCTTTCTTCATTTTTAGCTTTCGCTTCAGCGCATTTACTTTATTTCTTAATTTTTTGAAAGTGTTGTAATATTTTGATTGAAGATGTAAATTCTTTTCGGAGTAATAAATGTTATGGTAAAAATCGCGAGCATTCATAAGATTTTCTAATTCACGAGTAAGCCATGAAGGTTTATTATTGGGTTTAATTTCAATACTACGAAGGGGCGCAACTTTATCTAATAATAACAAAATATTATTTGAAATAAATGTCACTTGATCATTAATTGACGGCATTGCGTAAACATCGTCCCAGGAAAGTAAGGCAGCTTCTCTCAGAAGCAACTCACAATTTATTTTGTTAATCATCCTGATTTTTTTCACAGTGGTGCATGAAAGATTAAAATCAACATAACAAGTTCCATAAATTAAATCATGAGATGTGTAACTACCTAAAGGCAGCTGCGAGAAAGTCTTTATGAAGCTTTTATTTTTTGCAATTAAAAGATCAATCTGTGTTGGCGTTTTTCCTTTAACAAAATTTGTTTCCGTCGAATTAATACAACACAAATCAATTGAACTTAAAAACGATCTGAAACGAGTAGTCATACTTGAACTATTCAAGAAGTTTATATTAAAATCACCCATAATTAGGCAATCTGAGAAATTACTAGAAATATTGCTTAAACAACGTTTTAATGGCTCTATTTTTGTATTAGCTGGCGGGTTATACACGACTCCTAACGCAAACGACTTATCAGAGTTTGGAAAAACTTCAATGAACAGATATTCCGAGAACGAGTTTGGGTGACTTTTTGTAATTATTTTATAGTTAATTCCAGGTCTTAAGTACAACGCAACACCTCCACCACGCTTATTCTTTCTATCATGACGAATGAGAGTGAAGTTTGTGAGGGAGATGAGATTATCATTGTGCTTTTCATTAAACCATGTTTCTGAAACAGCAACTGCGTGTAAATTTGTATTCGCAACTATTGATTGAATATCAATTAAATTAGCCTTCATACTTCCTGGATTAATATGCATGAAATTAAAGAAATCATTATTCATTAGCCGCAAGACTGAGTTCCTATTTTTATAAATATTAGATATTTTCAGTGGAATGCTGCTGATATTAATGCTTGAGCTAGTCAAGTTAACAGCATAAGAAAGTCACAGCACAAAAGCAGAGGCTGGCAATTAATGCTCGAAGAAAACAAATAAATGCTGATACTAAAGGTTATGGAAAAAGTAAGGAATTGGGAAATGCAACATGAAATATAACTCACCCTAAAATGAGCGCACGAACCATCATCAAATACAGGAGAAGAACTTCGCTGATGAGAAATTTTATAAGTGCGCCGAGATAACAATAATTCATAATTTTTGTTTTCCATTTGATGTTTAATCCAAGAGCACAGGTTGCACGTCTTTCAGCTTCTTAGCTTCAGCAGCAAGCTCATCAGGTGTTGTGAAGAAACTGAAGTTTTCATCAGATTTAAACTTGATTCCAACTGCACCATGAATAATACGAACTTTCACAACTACACCAGCCTTCAGAAAATCCATAGCACATTTATTGACTCTATATTGTAGTGCAGTGATGTCATGCTGAATGTAGATGCGATCATCACTTCCCTCGAAACCTGGTAGCAAAGAGAGCTTGAGATCTTTCGCAACTTTTAAGTGTCGATTGAAAAATTCTTCTTTATAAAATTCATTTGGAAACTCGATGACAATTGATCTATTGATATTTTCTCCTTTGAACCGGTAGATTCTAGCATCAGGAGTTACTGTATAACCAAGCTTCGAGGATAAGGATGAAAAAATTTGAGCCAGATTTTCCTTTGATTTGAAAGGAACTCCATTAACTATGACCTTAGTAACTTTCCTTTCATTCATTAAAGCGTTGTCAACCTTTTTTTCGACACGATTTATTTTCCGGACACAGGAATCATATTTGAGTTGAACTGTCTTGCTAAGCTCCGTCTTGAGATCAGCAATTTGTTTTCCGAAGTCCTTTTGTTGTTTACCAAAACTGTCCATTTGAGAACGCATCACATTTATAGATTTGATTAGTTCATCAATTTTTTTGTCACCCATCTTGAACACACGTGAAAACAAAAGGTGATTGTTAAGCGTAACAAAGGCGGTCGAGAGAGAAAATTTGCACGAGTCAAATAAAAATTTAATTTGAAGAATTTGACTTATAATTTAAGCTGCAGCTAAATTTCTTTTAGTGATTCACGGAGATAATGATGTTATTAAGATCTTAGCCGAATTTTACTGAAAACTTTTAATGTTGACCAATTATTAAATGCAATTTACTGTGCTCTAATTTTTTTTTGCTTTAGTCTCGATTCATCTCAAGAGAGCGATTCGATGTGAAGATCCATGTTGTCATCAACGTTGATTTTCACTCTACTCAAGCGTTCGTGAACAATTTCCGAGTTCATTCCATCAAAGTTGTTATATTCGCAAAGCGTTTCAACTGCTAGGAACTTCAATCTTTCCTCCATTTTTGCATTTATGAATTCATTTCTTCCAATCTTCATCTGTTCATAATCATCGTCGTATGTTAGAAATTTGTGTTTGATCTGTTTGCCGATCCAATGAATGCAATGTTCCAAATCAAAAGATCGAATTTTGAAGCAAAGTTTAATGTGAAACTTTGAGCTGAATAAACGTTTCAAAGCTTTCAACAATTCGTGTGTGTCTTTCATCTCCAAGCCTTCATTCATCGTCACAATCATCTCAAAAAGATTTTCGACTTCTTGCAAATGAAATTCAATTTTCTTTGTGAGAAATGAACTTTTGAATTTTTCTTCATTAAATGCTTCAAATTTTAGGAAATTATCAGCAAGATGAAGCAACATTTCGTTGTTTTCAAGCACTGATTGAAGATAATCTTTGACGACTTCAATGTTATCGTCTTTGCCGATGAGTTTGTTTTTAAATTCCGTGACATTCTGAAGCTCCTCATAAAGACTATGATCGATGATGCATTTGATTTCTTTTGGAAATTCGTTCAAATTTCTCTCTTCATTACTTTCATTCTGGAATTCTATAAAATCTTCTTCCTCGATCAACAATTTTTCACTGCACTTCATGAGAATTAATTGAATTTTTTCATTAATTTCCTTCTTGTATTCAACTTGCAAATCCAACTTCCAATTTTCCTGAAAAAGCTTCTCATTGTCTAAAATGTCATTTTGAGAATAATTTACGACATCAGTTTTTGATAGACAACAAATGACGCCAATTTGTGACAAAATCTCATTTGTTGGCTTTTCTTTCCCAGATGTTGTGATCACGCGTCGTAAATCGGCTACAGAAGCTTTTTCGAAAGTATAAGAAAGAATCGTCGATGTTAATTCTCTTCCATTCTGCAACGAATCTATGTTGAACGACTTCATGAGAACGATGAGAGTTTTCAATGTTGCATCACTTTTGATTGAAGATTTTGTGATGAAAATCTTTACGACATCTTCGATGAAACTTTGTGACGGAAATTTCTTGTGATGAATTAAAGTTTGTAATAAAATGTGACTCTCAACTGAATTTTTGTTATTTGAAGTACAAACGCGAACTGTTGCCTCGACAATTTTAAACCAAAGTTTGTGACATAAATTAACAACGTGAATGTTTGCAGTTGAAACGAAATTTTCTTCTCTTTGAAGGAGGACATGACAACATTTCGTGAAAGCATAAATGTGAGATTCATGTTCGATGGACTCTTGAACACGTGAGAGCAGTTGAAGTAATAGCTGGAAATGATCATTCTCAAGTGCAGATGGATAATTGTATAAAAGCTCACTTAAGACTGTCAACCATTTCCAGTTAAAATCTTTCAATTCTTCTGTAGGTTGAGCGAAATCTATCAATGCTTGCAACTTTTCTGATCTTTTTTGTCGTTTCGAAAGCTGTTCCTCGTAATCAATTTCATCCCAAATTGAATTATTCCAATAAACTATGTAACATAAACGAGCAGCGAATTGAGCCACAATCTGATTGAGTTCTGGTGCTGCACAGCCGCGATACTTTGTTTTTGGTTGGTTTTTCAATTCCAATTCAACCATGAAGATGAAATTTCTCAAAGTTACTTTCCAGGCACTTTCATTAGCAATAAATTGAAGCTTTTCCTTACAACTCCCAAGATTTGGATAATGAACAATCAGCGAAAGATCAACCAACTTGAAGAGTGTCACTTTCACTTCTTCGTTCATGTCAACTTTGAATACGATGTGAATATGTTTTGCAATTTCTTCTGTAAAACGGCAAATTGTGAATCGAGACTCCGCGGAAATATGTTGACAGCAATTATAAGCGATTAATAACAACTCTAGTTTCTCTTTCGGATCCTTTCTTTCTTCTAAAAGCCTTGCTAGCATCTCAAGATGGTTTTCCAAATCAATTGTAAGATGAGAGAAATTGCAGCCATATTCGATGACCTGATTTGTGCAAAATGTCAACTCAGTAAAAGGCAGAGGGTTTTCCTTCCAATTCATAAAACTAGTGAGAATTTTTAGTAATTCTGAAAATATAAAGGAAACAAACTTAACATGGTGAAATTAAAACTTTTAAACTTTTTGTCTTTACCTTGCCAAGAGTCTAATGAAATTGATGTCAAATTGTTTTTTACTTTGAAAATTGACTTTTGTAATACTTGCAAATAGCATACGCCAAAATATCTGAAATAAGATTCATCTCTCAATATTTCCAATACTGCTGTAATCGAAGCTTGATATGGAATGCCAAAAGATTCTGAAATATAAAATTCGTCATGATGCGAATTGCAATTTGATTTTACTCTTTAGAATTCTTACCGTTTGCAGGATTGTCACACAATTTAAGCAAAACTCTCGAATAAACGGTTATTTTTGGATCATTTGGGTGAAGATTTGTTTCTGCTTTTGAAATTTTTGGGGAATGAATTTTGATTCCTGAGTGGGCAGCTTCAAAAAGTTCTTTCCAGCCAAGATCATTACTTCTCTCAAAAATCTTTTGCAAATCATCAAATCGACTTGTTAAAATATCAAATAATTTATTAAATGCTTTCTGACGAATCGATATTTTATCAACTCTCAGTTCGCCAAGAAGATTGTCAATTTCACTTTCCATCATTCAAGATGTTTATTTAAGCAATATTTTTGTTTTCCCACAATAACATTCAAATGTAAACAATGCTAATGGAAATGGACGTGAATATTTTTAAAATCTATTGCTTTTTTTCTGTATATTAAACTTAAATGTCTAATATTTTGTTCTTTTTCTTATTTTACTTGAAGTCAATTGTTGAGTGGTCCCACTTTGTATGGGAGGTCAAATCCACGCAAGCCGAAACCCGGGCAGTCCGACGTCAATTTTTAAAATTCTTCGAACCAGGGGGTATGGCGAGTACACTTTTTCTTGTTGGCGCCAAATTTTAAGGAAGTTATAACAAATTATAACAGTTTGCTACACTTGCATGAATTTACTTGACTCTATTTAAAATTATGAAAGCTTTAAGGAGAAAAAGTTAATATTATTAGATTATTAAATATAGCCTGGAAAGATAATATTTCGTTAATATATTCATTTCAAACAAGAAATTTATTATTTATTGTGTTGATGAAAACAAAACATTTTTCTTTCTAATATTTGATAAAATGATCAACGATGATACGATTATTGCTAACTACTGATGCATTAATAACGATTTAATTATTACCTCGAGCATGGTAAGTTTAAATTTAAGAAATATATTGGAATAAAAAGAAATTTAAAAAATTGAGTGATATCTAAATGTGAATAGTGTTCAAACGTTGCATCAGTTCGTGACAATATTTATTGCACACATCAGGTGGAAGTTTCTCCGATAATTCCAAAGATGAAGAGAATTGGAATTTCCTTAAAAAAAGAAAATAAATTAATTAATAACGAATTTTCACTATGCAATATCAGAATTACGTTAAAATAACATCAACACATTTTTCAAACAGATAACACATTTTTCAAACAGATCTTTGACACAGCTTAGTCTGCTTGCGATTATTAAATTGTCCAAAACGTTGTCGATCGAAAGGTTTGAAATGAGTGAATTCTTGCACATCAGTTTTAAGTTGTCAAGATGATATTTCTCAGCTTCGTAGATCAGTTTTGGAGCCAATGCATCAATGCTTTCGACAGTTTCACAGTAAATATATCTCAAAAGTTCTTTCATGGTGACAGAATCGACATCATGTAAAGTCACACAGTTTTCAGCAGCTTCCTCCATGTCATTTGTCATCATTGCCATAAAAACGGGAGATTTTGCAGCTAGGATCACTCGATGAACGTATAAAGATTTTTCATCGTTGCATTTAATCTCGAAGTCAGTAAAAAGTTTGTTTTCAAACATTTTTTCGTAGCAATTATTTATATCATTTGACTCTATGTCTTGTTCAATGTTTCCTCCATTCTCAAGTCTCTTTCCATGTTCTAACTGTTTTTTGCAGACCAATGAAATCTGTTAAATAATAATTTAATGAAACGAAAAACTCTTAACAATTTTTAATAAGATTTTACCTCACAAACGATGGCGATTCTTGCGTTAATTTCCTTTTCATAATCAAATGGGGAAAAATATTTTTCAAACAAAACTTTGTGTGCGATTAACTTATCGAGACCATATCCTGAAATGTTTTTCATTTCTTCGCTTGTCATTGTTAATAGTGGACCCATTAAATCCTTTTCCACGTGGGAACTTGAGATACCCAATTTGAATTTGATGTCAAATATCATTTCAGATGGTTTAGATAAACATAAGAACAAACTGACGAAAAACTTTGTGCTGTTATCTTCCCCATTAAGGTACAGAAGAAAATACCTTTCGAAAGTTCTAAAATTATTCATTCATTCAAATGAGAAATCATTTTTTTTACCAAAATGTCGATTTTCCATTTATATCAATGTTAAATTCATTTGATGTGATTGCGCTTCCGACTTTGCCATTTTCAATTAAGTGTTTTGTAACATTCGGAAGGCTCCAATTTATTCGCTTAAAGACAACCGTTTCCTGCAATAATGTTTTAATAGAGAAAAGATATTTAAAAGTGAAAAAAATCTCTTAACCTGATCTGCCATGATGTTTCTTGTAAATTTTTCTCAGAAAGCTTCTTAAGGTTTTTAAATAGATTAGATTTTCACAGACAACAAATATTTAAAACTGTAGGATATGTTTACACGAACAATAAAGACGATATAATACGTATTAAATCAGGAAATTACGTTTATTTGGGTTCGGCTATTGACCTGTAATCTTTAGCTGCTTAGTTACAAAGTAAATCTCGTCAGAGTTCAACAACTTAAGAATGCAGCAAGCTGTGCGGGAGAATTGTTTTGATGTGTGCAATTTCTAATTTTAGGCATTTTATTTGTGTGTGTTAGTAACCACTGATAGTATCCTAAAAAACTTTTTAAAAACAGTCTGAAAATTGAAATAAATTTAAGTTACAAAATCAGACAACAATTTTCAACTCTTTAAACAAATAAATATTTTTATTATAATTCAATTATTATTATTACACATTAATTAATTCTTAGTTCTCCAGAATTGATTCACATGCCATGTTTATTAATTGTACAAAGTTTCTACTCTAATTAGAGACTTTTTGTAAAATGAATTTCGTGAGATTTACATGGCGACGAAGAGATGGTAGCGACACACATAGATAGAAGAAGGATTTCAAAAGGGACTTTCACAGTTTGAATCTGAATCCCCAATGATAATCCAGCCTATGAAAAAATAATGCTGACCAACCAATCCCTTAATTAGAAACTGGTGTGAGAGCTTTTAATTTTCTTATCATTGGAAATTCATCTTATTGCGAAATAATTGTGAGTTGTCGACTAAATATTACTATTTCTCGATGACATATTCACCATATCCCTGTTTCGATGCTTCATCACCGAAAAGTTCTTGAAGTTGATCATTTCTTACGTTTTCATTATCCACAAAATCATTTGCATTTTGTTGAACAACGCAATCATCATCTTCACAATAAAATTTGGTACTTGATGTCATTGTTTGTGGATCACTCCGCTTCCCAAATCTCATTACATTTTTGTCATTTCTACCAAATCTCATGATGTTTCCAGATCGTCCTAATCGTAATAAATTTCTGTCAGAACCAGCACGGGTTGAACGAAGCTGCAAGTAACCCTTTGGAATGTTCATGAGTTTTGGTTGAAATTGACCACCTCGGCCAAATCTCATCATATTTGCACGTTTACCAAAACGCATCATATTTGCCCTTCCGAAACGCATCATATTTCCACGACCGAATCTCAAAATATTTTTGTCAGTTGATTTCTTATTGTTATTGGATCGTTCTTCACTTTTCTCTCCACTTTGTTGCAAATCAATTGGAGTTTCAAAGCTTTCATCGCGTGAAGATTCTGAATTACGATCTAATCGAAGAACTTTACTGCCATGGTCAGCGTATCGGTTGTCAGATTTTCGTATAACTGGTCGCTGCATGAAATCTTCAACTTCACTTGCGTCGTTGTATTCCTCAGGATCTTCAATATCTTCATAGTTATTTCTTCCAAATCTCATGAAGCCAGCTCGGCCAAATCTCATGATGTTCTTGTCGCTCTTACGAACTCTTGGTGGTTCTTCACTGTAATCCAAAGTCGGATCTTCCAAAGACCTTCCGAATCGAATAACATTTCCACCACCTCGTCCAAACCTCATAAATCCTTTATCAAGTGCGCTTCTTCGACGAGCTTCAATCTGTGTGTTGTCACTCTTTATACTTCTTCGGAACTGAAAAACAACACCTGATGTTCCCAGATCGTCAGTGTCTGACACATAAGCTAATCCTGGTTGATGATTTGGTACGTAAGCAAGTTGATTTAATGGATATTCATTCTCGCTATTACTTTTGTTTGCATTAGCTTCCGTTGTTGGCGCAGTTGACAATTTACTGCATTTAAACATTACAATTGCTACGAAAAGTATCAGCTTCATAATTGATTATTTTCTTGTTGTTACTGAAATGGGAAAAGAAATTTAAGTTAAATTGAGAAATCAATTTTTAAACAAACAAAATTAAGAAATAATTTTTTCCCTTAGGATTATCATTTAAATAGCGCTAATCGAAAGAGTTATCTTCTGTAAACAACCAAAAACAATCAATCGTCTTATTTATCAACATATAAAATTTTCCACAAAGAAAAGAATGACGAAAGCCACTTAAGATGAAAAACTATTCGACAAAATTATGATTTCCCACTTGAATGTCATAAATTGAGGTCATGAATCAAAAAATGTGTAGAAGAGCGATGATCTGGTAATTTACAGACGACATCGACCATTAAGATATCGCCTTGAATTGTTTATCTACGTCATTCATTAACAAAAGTTTCAGTTTCTATTCTTGTGGCGTCATCATAAAACTAGATAATCTGATGACAAGAAAAGCTTTGGACGGGCAATCATAGCCAAACATACGCGTTTCAACTACAACTTGAAATACTTATGATTTTCACAACAATTGATCTTTCTTTAATAAACCCACCTCCGCTTTTATTCAGTCAAATTTTCTTCACATTAACTTTAAGAGTCACAATCCTATTAATTAATTGACAACTTGAACTTCGTTGGATTTTTTTCTTGATCAAATTATCACAACTTATAAGAGAGATTTCGTATTTAAGAATTTATTAAGTGTAAGGAAAATAATTAAACTTCATGCGCCATAAAATTTCTATTTTAAAAAACCACAACAATGAACTTGATTACAATAATATCTTAAATCCCTCTGTCCGTGAGATCTTTGTCAACTGATGCTTCTTGCGTGACTGAAACTGAAATCTACATTTAGATTTACATTTATGTTGTAGGTGGAAAAAAAGAAAGAAATCTATGCTTTCGTCCTTTCTATGGGTGGATATGTGGCGATAATATTTGAGATTGTGTGAGTGACAGCATGTACAGACACGCTATTGTGAGAAAAGTTATCAATGAAAACTATCAATGTGTTGATGCCGTAGTATTTCGTCCAAACGAAAGTTGCGGTGTTGTATATTTACATAAGAGAGAAATTGCATAATTTTAAATGGAAATGCTTGAGATGGAATTTCAAGAATTGTTTCATTTCTTCCACAACATTTATTGTTGCCGTACATTTCACCTACACCTGATCTTTCTCGTAAAGTCTTTTGACACAGACAATAAGGCTGCGGGAAGAATTTGTTTGTTTTCATGTAAAGTTCTCAAGTTTGTTTTTCATGTAATTAGCAAATGAAATTAAAAGTAGATTTCACAATCATTTAGTTAAAAAATGAGAAAAGAAGATGGACTGTGAATTTTCCCTCGCCCCATCATATTTCTGGCGACTTGACTTCTATCGATTATTTTCAGTTTTGGCTCAAGACTAAAAGCTTCACATTTTAGTGAGCGAACTTTTATGTTCCATAGACTCACTAGTCTTCAAACTGAAAGCGGGTGGAATCGTCGTATATGTCGCAAATATTTTGGATGATGACGCTTTTTATGGTGCTATCGTAGACAGTCTGATGCCATTGAAAACAATAAGAGATCAAGGATAAAGAATTATTCTAACATTTCATTCTATTTATAAACTTTTTCTAATCTTTTATTAATTTTGTAGCATTAAATGATTTCCTTAAAATTGTTCAATATATCGTGAAGAGTTGCTTCACAGATATTATCGGGATTCCTTCACTAACTACTAAGTTTCTTTTTGCGTGTAATTTCCTTATTTACTCATCTGATAATCTTGGAAACGTGCCAATTTATTTACAAGATTGTTGTACCAAAACTGTTATCTCTAATTGAATCGTTTATCATGGATTTTCCAACTCATTCATGAGCATTCGCAATTTCGTATGATAATGAATATGTATGTATAATATTCCTAATGAAAATGAAAATATTCTACTCATTGAAACATTTTATGAATGAATTTCTTGTAGACTTTTAGATTGCCTAAGAAATGATTCATAAAAATAAAGTTTTGACTAACAAAATCTAAATATTACTGAACCATTATTTAAAGTTATTTCTATTTTCTTAGTCAGACTTTTATTTAATTAATTTATAGGCGACAAGAACTTAAGATGAAATCTTATCACGCCCATATCTATTTATTTATATCTGAACCATCATTCAATCACGTTTGTCTGCTAAATGAAATGTTTTTACGTTACATCGATGGAAGAAATATTTGAGTTTCCAAATTCCACTTAGAACCAACAATTGATGAGCTTAACAGACTTCTTAAGAAATGTTTTCATTAGAAATCATTTCACTCTCCCTTAACCAAAGAAACGACAAGGTAAAAAACAAAGATTTCGAAGAATTTTTCACTTCATTTCAAGAAAAATGTCTTACTTGTGTCCATTAATGTTAAATTTAGAACATTAAGTTTCAAATAAATATGAGAAAATGCACAGTTTTCATTTCAATTTGCAAAGGAAGTAGTTTTGAAAATTAAATTTCTTTACTTTAAATCTAAATGCAACTTTTGGCTATCCTATAACGTGAAAATTTATTTATTTCCTAAATGCACTTCAAAGAAAATCAAATTATGGGTCATGGACGAGAAAAGTTTCCATAAGAATTTTATCCCATTTCGTGCACATTTTTCTTGCATTTTTCTCAGTTATAATAATCCACTGAATTGTTTTCTATTAAATGAAACTACTGAGCTTTTAGGAATTTTTACGCCACACATATTTTAGATGATTTACTAGAAAAATTCGTTGTTGTATCTCTAGGACGTGACCAAATGTGTACTGTTTTACATTCCATTGCACCATACACCCATGTAGTTATTTCTGAATCAACGATTATGTCATAATTAGCATAATAATCCCAAACAATAAGTCAGAACATGACAGTTTTCTGTGTACATGCCAATGAAAAGGAAGCTTTATTGCTCCCGAAGCAGGAAACTCCATAAAAATTTTATTTACTGTTAATTATAGCTTGCCTCAGTAAAAAAAGAATATCATGTCATCATTGTGAAACTACTGCTTGCAGATCGGCTTACACTAAAGTTTTCTATAATCTATATTGTGTTTGCATAATAAATATTTCTTGATAACTTTAATTAAAACACATTTTTATGTTCTTATGTTTACGAAACTTTGTTCATAACACAATAAATCTTATTGAAAAAGAAAACTTAAAGTAGAATCAAGAATTGTTGACTTCCTGTCTCCAATTTGCTTATAAGAAAAGGATACAAACACGTACATATGTTCATCTCATCAAGGCGCATCGTTTAATCTTTCTTTGCGGACCTAACAGTCTTCTTCGGACATTTAAGGAGAAAGGAAAGATGGGTAAAAGGATGATGTGATAAATTATCCGTCATCTATTACAATTAAGCTAAAAGAAATGTTATCACTATGCAGAAGAATTCGAATTTCTGAGACTGTTGACATTGTTGCTGTTATCGCGAAGGTTTCGTATTCAGTAAAAATGAAATGTGATACTGAAGTTGGTCTTTGATATTTTCTCCTAAATATGCATGGCGACGCAGTAAGAAGATTTAAGGAAATGAATAAGATTTTGATCGAGCGATGAAAGCTCATAAACTCAAACTATCTATGATTGGAGGAATAAGTTGAAAGAATTTAAGCTTTCTTAATACTATAAATGTTTCAAATTGATGTTTCATTATGAAATGCTTCGGAAACGATAGGACAATAATATTTCCATGATTTCATTCACATTTCAATAGAATTGATAAAAATAAGAATAATTTAAGGAACTTGTTTATGAAAATTTTCACAGAATCATGTGTGTAAAAGTTTTAGAAGGCCAAACTGTCAGCTAAATAGAACTCTTAACATTATGTTCAAAGTCTTATGAGTTTCTCTTACAATGCTAGCGTCAAATTGCAAAAATTTTGTATAAATCATGATCACATAAAGTCAACGCTTCACATGATGCTTTACAAATGAAAAATTGCTTGCGCTTCAATTTCAATTTACATTGAAATTTGTTCCTATGTGTAAATTGTAATTTTTGTGGCGATGAAAATTAATGTTCAATATGCGATTTATTAGATTTTTGTTTCGTGAGAAAAGATAAATTTAAGTTAAATTTCAATAAGTAGAAAGAGTGGATGAACTCAGGTTGGTTGGCAATATATTTTCATTATTTACAGGGCTCGAATATGTTTTTTTATAAACAACAGGAAATTGAAAACAATACTTTCAATCTTAAGTGTTGAAATATAAATATGTTTAAGCATCGAACAGGAAGCTTCAGTTCAAACTACGTGACGAGTTTTCACGACAAACTTTTTCCATGCTCAAGAAATTCTCATACGTAGCTCAATACCTTTGAGATGTTTGTAAGAATAACTTACTTTGGGTCTATATTTAATTCAAACATGTCACCTAAAATGCATCATGAACTAAATTTCATTTAACATCATGAAGTTGTTCGTGTGTATTGTGAGAGATTCTTAAGAACTGATTGTTATTAATGCAATCATATATTCTAATATTTATTCAGCTTTCTCTTCTATGGTTACACTGAACTGCATAAAATTGTCTCGTGTTTTATCACTTTTATAGCTCATGACTAGGTAGAAAAATTTGTTAACTTCCAAACAACTGAAACTTCTCTTTTATCTTTAGTTTCGTAAAGTTTAAAATTTCTTAAAACATCAAAGGTGAGTTTGGAAAAAGGTTTCGCAGGAAATATTTCAAAGTTATTGAAAATAATTAAGTTTCTATTAATTTAGGCAGACAATGATTTCTTTTAAACAGAAATTTGAACTTGAAAAACTTACGGAAAAGTGAACGTTGAATAAACAAAGGAAAACATTTTTTAAGTTACATTGGGAAAATATTGATTAGGAACACAAGCAAATTAAGGAGAAAATAAAAATGTTTAAGTTTGTTATTTAGGTATTTTTATTAAATTGATGAGATTTAAATTCTGCTTTTGTTCGTTGTGAAAATTCATATGATTAATGTTCAAAAGCTACAAAAAGCTCTAAGAAGTTAATATTTGTTGTTGTCTAATAAATGTCTTCATTTAATTGATTTATTTTATGATTCCAGTTTTTCTTGTTTTGTAAATTTGAAATTGAGATCATTCAACCAGTCGAAAGAAATTATTTTCTATTTTAATTTTTATAAATATTTCCTAGCATTTTAGTCTCCTCTCAAATAGAAGAAATTACCTTTGATGCGATAAAACATGGAAAAAAGAAGTATCGTTGGATTAATTAACCTGAATGTTAATTATATTTAAACTCTAGAAGATATTTTTGTATACACTAATGAAGCTAAATTCTTGTCTTGATGAGTCAACGTCTTGAAAAATTTTATCTCAAAACCTTGCTGATTTGCTTCATAAAAGTCAACAGAAACGCATAAACTAAAAAAGTATCTTTATTCCAATATTAATAATCACATCTGAATAAAAATGCTTTCAAGGAAGCTTTTAAGTCCATTTACATCAAATTTAAAAGTCAAAATCTTCCGACATGTAATGCCCAAATAATTCTTTTCATAAATTGTGATGTGTACTCAAATTATTTATTTCATATATTGCAAGAACAAATATCGCAAGGTTTTCGCAGCCTTTATGGTAAAGATTTTGAAATAAAATTGAGTGAGTATAATGTAAATGTAATGTTCTAATAAACGAAACATATCGAAAGGTTACTAGAGATGGGTGAAAATTTGATGGGTAAAACACAATTTTAACAAGTTTTCTTTTGAAAATCCCTAGAATTGAACATGTGAAAGCTATTAAAAAGTAAAAATGCTATTAAACGGTGAGAGGGAGCATGTAATGAAAGATGGAGAGTTTTATTACTTGATAACTTATTCTTTCACTTATTGATGGTGAAAATCTTTCATAGATCAACCGAGAGGGAGAATTTTTCTTTTATTTCACATATCTTTTATTTAATATCTCAGTTTTAATTCAGTAACAAGCTATGAAGTCTCCAAAGGATATTTCATATAATCGCAGAAATAAATTAGAAAACTGTGACAAATAAATTTATATTTTTTTTATCCAGCACATGTCTTGCAATAATGAAGCATAAAATAGTTTTACTATTGTTTTTTGACATTCACAACTTTTAAAATGAGAAAGTGTAACAAGAATCCAAACATAAAAATTATTAATGAAAATTGTAAAGCTTACTTTTTCTGCACTCTTCCAAATAGTAAATTTCAAGAATTTATTTTATTTAATTTTCACATGAAATCTTTTTAATTTAACAGAACAGATATTTAGGTATATTTATTAATTCACACAACTTTTTGATTCGACAAATTTTCACTCAAAAATTAAAAATTGACTGGGAAAATTAAAACATCAAATCACTTCATCAGAAGCTTCACTAATCATTCTTGCTTGCTCAACGGCAATTTCACTTCTGTTGACGACGCATGATGATAACACTTCTTATATAACTGAAGTCACTTGTTGAAATGAACCTCATCTTTTGCTCCCAGTTCTCATGAAGCACTGAAACAAACGAAGCACCCACATCTTCACGCGAGAAGAAAATTCTTTTCTCCTTTTTCTGGTGCTTTCGCTCTGCTCAGAATTTTTATGTCGCCTTTTGGACGATGCGCGATTTTAGGAGAGAGAATGAAAAGTCAAGTTTTATCATAACGTATTTACTTAGATACATTAATATTGAACTTTTATAAATTTACATGAACTTGTTCAATATTAAATATTTAAATGCTTTCACAATTCTTTGATGTTATGAAAGTTTTGCATTTTTTTTATCCCACAATAAGTTTAAAGTTTTTAAAACTACTAAATTAGTAATGTCAAAGAGCACATGTGTAAGAGTGATTCAAGAAATATCATAAAAATGCAAGTGTCATAACATCAACATTCAAGAATAATCCGTTGAGTGTCGCGATATCAAAATAATGCTCCAAACATGATCTCCGCAAGGAAAGTTAACACGAATATTCTCACAAATTTCTCAAGAGTTTCTCATAATATTTTGTGTGCAAGTCTTCTCCAAATTAATAAGAAGAAATGTTACGCTTGCGTGATTGAAAAATGTTGATGATAAATTCAATCACGCATTCAAAAGTTGAATAGAATAATTCAACACCAGTCAGGAAGCTAAAGCCAAGAAAGAATGACACACATCCTCCAAGTCCAACTAAATAAATAAGAAAAGATTTCGATGAACAAATTTTCACAATCAGAGAAATGAACAAAACTCACCGAGTAAATCATTGAAGTTGAATAAAACTGATCGTATAATTCGTGTTTTAGAAAACTGTAGAAAAATTGTAACACCAGAAAAGGATGGTCCCGTATTATCCTGAAATTATAAATTTCAATTAATTGAGTAAACATAATTTATGTTCCATTCAATAAACTGTCAAAAAATATCTGAAACTTACTTTTTCGGTAGAAATTCTGGTATAAATCACTTCTTCGCATAAGTTTGGACATTCACATGAGCTCGTGTTGTACCATTGGGATTCAGATAGACAAATCATTCCTTTTATGTCACAAGTTTCAACATTAGGAATAGCGTAGAAAAATGGTACACATTTACAAAACATCAACGAACGTTTAATTCGACAATCAATTTTACATAAATCTTTGGTGTAAACCTGAAAATTATCTTTGAAATTATTAATTAAGTGAATTTGAAATGTTTTTGCTTGTTATGCACATTGAAATACTCTGAATTTGGTTCACTTCTAAACAGACATTTTCGACTTTTTGGTTTTAGTTCTATGACATTATCCTCGGCTACAATTAAATCAACTCTGATTGTTCGTTTTATGGCCATATCTTCATCGGATTCTTCAAAATCTTGAGAATCTCCAACCACGACATCTTCAATATTATGAACAAGCTAATAAAGACAAAATTTAAATGCATTTATCTTTAAAATTAATTTAGAATTAACTCACAACTTTATATATTATTTCTTTTCTATTTGGAGTAATAACCATTTGACAAACCTCAGATGTAACGCAATAACTGGTTGAATTTTTTGCTGTTAAGTTTTTTTCTCCATATGATGTGGAACTTCGACATTTTGAAATAAGTTTTTTACTTTTTAAACACATACATTTTAATTAGAGATGTCTACTCACTCTTTATAGAAAGGATTTTGAAGTGAATTATATTTTGTTGTACTTTGACAAAGCCCCAGCTACGTTCATAAATAAATATAAATTAATGAATCCTGAAAGCTTTTAAGAAGATAACACAAACCTCAGTGATTACATGATTGTATTCTGGTTGAGCTATAGCACTTGAGTTCTTCAACATGTAGGATATAACAGACAAGTCGATTGTTTGGTTATTTATAACATTATTGTAAATTTTGTCAGAATGTTCAAGGAATGGTTTAAGGTTTCCCATATTTTTATAATTTAATTCTGACATCGTATGAAGAAAGTTGTCATAAATTTCATATGAAACTGATGAATTATCAACTCCCCAAATACTAGACACAAGAAATAATTTAATTAATTATTATTGGAAATAAATGCAAACTACTTAGTTAAAAAAATTACTTTCCAATTATTTCAACGACTTCTGTTTCATTAGTGTAAAAGGGAGCACAAATAGTTATTGCTGGGCGGTTCAATTTCGATGGTTTTAAGAATCCAATTGAAAGAACTGTTGGATTTTCATTATACCGCTTCCATTGATTGGAAAAAGCATAAAAGGTTGCATAAACGGACAATAAAATCGTAACTATCCAGAATAATCTAAGATATTCAAAAATAACTTTTGATGCAATCAAAAACTTTTATTTAAATGTTTCAATTTAATTACTTTTCAATGAAATGTGTTTCCTTCTTAACAACGTAAGGAAATCCATGAATCGAAGATTGACCAAAGAAATTTTCAAGAAATCTGTTTTTAAAATCCACAACATGTTTAATCCAATTCATGTTTATAAACTTTCAAAACTCAAACACAGACTGAATTAAAAGTAAAAATTAAAATTAAAATGAAATTTAACGTCGCGTGTTTGGGTAGTTTTAATTTATAATTTTAATTATTTTTCCATAATTACTTCTAATGCATATCAGCCACATGTTTTTCATAAAATTATTAAACTCCCTTGTGACTTCTCAGTTCTGCTCTTATTTGTAAAACATAAAATTTAAACACTGTTGAAAGCAAATGAATGTTGTTGATTAGGTGATGGTAATCAATGGATGAATGTTTGCATATTGTTAGAAATAAATTGTGCATCATATTAGACGTAACAGAGTTTTATGTTTTTGTTCATTTTTCATTATGCATGTACATCGACATAACGATATCCTCGTCAAAAATATCACTAGCAACATCAGCTATGCTATTAAATGTCACATAATTAACTGTGAAAAATAATTATGTACTGTACAGCTTAAACGAAAGCTAAAGTAACATTATATATATTATGACCATGACATGGGTTCAAACATATTTCATGCGTGGGATCGAAAGATTTTCATATTCTTAATAACAATGAAAACTGATACGTTTAATTTTTAGTCGATCACATGTAATAATTAAATTTTATCAAATTAATTGGCAACTGAAGCTATAAATTAAGCTGAAAGCAACGTCACTTTAGACAATATGCAGAAAATTTATCTGTGAATTTCTAAGAAAAATCATCATCAATATTTGAGGGAATTGAAGTTTTGACAGCCTTTGACGATATTAAAAAAGTTTCATTTATTTCTAATCTTTTCGATACTTACAAAAGTTGCACCTAGATTAATGTTAGACGACTTGCAAGAAATTAAATCTCGCACCAATTCTAATTGAATATTGAATAAGTTATGAATTTCTTTGATTAAATAATTCGAATCATCATCGCCTTAATATAATTGAGTTTAAAAATTGTGATTTGTAATTAACCTATGTGTGTTTGACACATCAAATGGCTTAGAAATATTTGTCGGAATAAAACTGTCTGAAATCAGAGTATTGAATAGATCGTCAAGTATCTACATAAGTACATGAATTGTTTATTTCATTTTAATGTACATTGCAACAGTAGAATTGCGTGCAAAAAAGCTGCAAGAAATGTAATTAATAATTCTTTTTGAAACAACAATCAGTGCGATTGAGATCCCCTAGTTTTATTTGTTCATTAATGGCCAATTCTATAAAACCAGTTAAACAACAAAATAATTTATCATCATTGCAAGAAATGTTTACAAGAAATGTTTACAGGTTTTCGTTGTGCAAACACAGAGAATCATCAGTCTTGAATTTACCTTCGTTGCATTCAGAAGTGAACTGCACAAAGCAGCAATCCGGTTTTTGCTGCATTTCAAATTTAAAGTGAATTTCAAAGTGAAAGTTAAAATCGCAAGAATTTCTTTTCTTGCCTATCATACTTTTGATACTTTTAATACATTCAATTATTTAATTTCACATAAATTAAGGTTTGTAAAAATTATTCATAAATTATAACGGAAACAGGATGTGTACTTACAATGTAAAAATCAAGAGAGACGATGAAAAAGGTCAAGTTTATTGGGATGATTAAAGTGAAAGTTTTGATCAATGAAAATGGAAAGTGCCAAAAAAAAATCAATTGGAATGTTAATTGCATAAAATCACGTAATTTTAGCAAAGAATTCTTCAATGTTTCTTGCCTTACATTTGGCTCTCTTTTGCTATGATGTGATGAAACGTAGCGGATCGCTCTGTTGCGCAATTCTTTTATTACTCCACAGTGCAGTCTACACTTTTATGCTTATTACCGTTTGTGTGCATTTTTTCTGCAACTGCAACACTAAACGTGTTTCTCGAGTTGTTATTACTCAACTCCTAATCATGTTTGCTTGCTTAGCTAGTGTTGTGAAACTTATTTCATCAAGAATATGAAACTTTTTAAATCCATTAACTTTCGCATGAATTAGAATAGCTGTAAATTTTAAAAATATGTGAAAATATGTAAATGTTTGTTTACGAACTTGACACCTGATGTCAACGTATTACTCGTGCAAAATTGAAGAGATTTCTGCAAAAATCTATTCCTAAGATGTCAACATAAATTGAAATAAAATATGATTCCCAATGGACTTATTCTTCCTGATTATTCATGTTAAATGTGAAATTTATTCTAGTTTTAAAGAAATACCTTGAAAATGGAAGAAGATCGAATTGCACCAATATTCAAAGGTCGTCATATTTTATTGACTGGAGGTAAATTTAATTCAAATGTTTATGAAATTCTATTTTTAAATTTTCTTCATCGAAAATTTTAAGGAACTGGATTTATGGGAAAGGTGTTGATAGAAAAACTTATCCGTTTAACGGAAGTTGACCAAATTTATATGTTAATGAGAACGAAGAAAGGAAAAGACCCGAAAGATCGTTTGATCGATATTTTCACTAATCCCGTGAGACATATATTTGTGTTTTAACAATTTCTTTTATGAAATATATTTGAATTAATTTTCATCAGCTTTTTGATACCTTAAAAAGACGAATGGATGTTCAAGATATGATAAAGAGAATCAAAGTTATTCCTGGTGATTGTGGATTGATTGGACTTGGTTTGTCTGCTGAAGATCGGAAACTCATCATTGACAATGTTTCTTTAATATATCATTGCGCAGCAACGATTCGTTTTGATGAAAAATTAAAACGTGCAGTTGAACTCAATACGCGAGGAACCTTGGAAATGATTAAGCTCGGATTGGAATGCAAAAATCTAGAGGTAAAATAACGAACTTTTTTATTTCAAAATATTCAAAATTCAAGAAGCCGTTAAATGTTGATAATTCTTTCTATTTATGCTTTCTCTGCAGATGTTTGGATACATGTCAACATCATACTGTCATCTTCATGAAAGCTTTCTTTTAGAAAAACCTTACGATCCACCAGCAGATCCACATAAAATAATAAAATCAGTAGAAATGCTTCAAGAAGATGAAGTTGAAGGAATGGCAAAGAAAATTCTTGGGACATTACCCAATAGCTATGCTTTCACAAAGGCACTCGCAGAAGCTTTAGTGAATGAAGCTTGCGAAACACAGAATCTACCAGCAATGATTTTAAGACCATCTATCGTAATTCCCACATACGAAGATCCTATTTCTGGATGGACTGATAACGTAAATATTTTCATTTCTTGAATAAAATTATATATTTATCAGTGATAATTTCAGTTGAATGGACCAGCGGGATTGATGATAGGAGCTGGTAAAGGAGTTATTCGAACACTTTATTGTGATCAGAAAAGTTACGGCGATTTTCTGCCGGTTGATGTTGCAATCAATGGTTTGATGGTGTGCACTTGGTATTATTTGACTTTCAAGTAAGTTTGATAATTTAATGTCGATTTTATTTAAATATTCATATTATTCACAGTGACAAAGAACATTACATTGTGAATTTCACAAGCTCTCAAGATATACGTGTAAGATGGGAGGAAATTGTTGTAATGGGTCAAAAGGTCATCAATGAAAAATATCCAATCAATGGGATTTTGTGGTGAATTTTTATTAATTTTGTCTCAAATTCAAATGATACGAAAAGAAATTTATTAAATTTTTATAGGTATCCAGGTGGTGGAATGACGAAATATCGTTGGCTTCATCAGTTACGTGCAATATTTTTCCATTGGTTACCAGCAATATTGATTGACATCTTATTGTTTTGCTTAGGATATGAACGAATGTAAATATTTCCTTTGCCAATTTCTAAATATAAATTAAAATTTCTTCCCACTAGTTTATGGAGAGTTCACAAAAGAATTGCCAAAGGAATGGAAGTTATAGAGTATTATGCCAACAACCAATGGGATTTTGATAATAAACATGCGATCATTATCCGCAAGACATTAAATAACACTGAGAAATTAAAATACAAATGTGATGCTGAAGGTGTTGACATTTATCAGTATTTTGAAAATTGCATCTTAGGCGCACGTCGTTACTTGTTGAAGCAACCTGACATGATGCTTCCAGCTGCACGTAGGATGATGAAAATGTAAGACTCGTTAATCTTCTAAATCTCTTTCATTGTCATTAATCATTTTCTTAGAATGTACGTGGTTGACAGAGTCGCAAAGACATTAATTTACGGTTGGTTGCTTTATTGGATCATGGGATTAGTTTTGCCCACGTTTTTTTCATCGGAAGCTTTGGACAAGTTTTATTCAGTGATTAGACGAATTTTCTGGGGTAAATAAAGTTCAAACATCTTTATTAGGTGTTTCTTTATTAATGAATACAAAATGATATTTTAGCTTTTTTTTATTTATTAAGAAATTTCTTCTGTTAAAAAATACTTGTTTAGGTACCTAATCATTTTGAAAGTCAAAAGATCTGTTTGGAGTTATTTATTAACTTATTTTTGATTGTTTTTCTTTTTTAGTATAATTGGGAATTTTAAGGTTCAAGTGAAGTGATGAAAGTTATGATTTTGTTTATAAAAATGATTAAATTTCAATTGAAAATAAAATAAATTATAATCAAAAGCTTATTATGACTTAAATAATTTACTTTTTTGGCTGCATATAAGTCCGATAAGTTAAATAGCCAACACTCATATAAAATAAGATTTTCACAGAGAAATCCAACCAGAACAAGAAGTGAAACTTTCGCTTTGCTTCAGGAATTGTGTTGTC